CCAAGCCCCCAGCAGACACCTGTGGCCTCTTCACTGCCGTGTGTTAGTGCTACAGGCACGCTTTTGGGTCTGTTCCTTAACGGGATAGTCCTTCACGTATTTTGAAACAACTCATAACTTGCTTTATTGTGTTAATTTCATATTTGGAAAAAAGTCAGGCTTAAATTATAAAGTTAGAAAAACTAATGTTCTTGGTTTTGCTAGAGAAAGCTATTTGGTTTGTCTTTAAGTAACAATCCATTTTTATAAATAGGTTTTGAGGTGTAGTAAAATCGCTGGGGTGAAAGTAGCGGAAATTACAGAGCTGATACAGAAGGCGTTGGAGAATGACCAGAAAGTTAGGTGAGTTTCTGTCAGAGCTGAATGGTTTTTGTATCGGTTTTTCTTGCCCAGGGGTGACCACACACTTGGGTCTTTTCTTATCTGTTAATCTCAGTGGCATATATACTGAATGTTTTTTGAAAGTTGATTGAACTGGTTGCTGTATTCCAGTGTAAACAATCTGTATTGAAAAGCCACATATTTTTCTTTCAAACTGTAACATTTTCTTAGGGAAAAGAATCTAGTAAATCAAGTTACCTGCAAGAACCCAGACAGGGTCGATCCCGTCTTCTCACCACGTGGCCTCAGGCAGGACCCGTGACCCAGCACGTCAGTGCCGGTCACCTGCGGTCACCTGTGGCCGGTTCGGGGCTCACAGAGTAACGTGCTTCAGGCGCTCAGCAGCGCCAGCACCTGGTTCCGTAGATGGTAGTGGGAGGGGCGTGGTGTTATTTCTCTTGATAGGCACAGAAACTGGTGAGGTTGGCTTAGTCAAATAATTATTCCAATGTTTCTCATCCATCAGAAGGTAAGTTTTTTGGTTTTTGTCTTCTCTTCCATCTACTGTCTACCCCATTCCCCCCCCCAACCTCCCTCCCCCTGAAAAAAACCCACACAGGAAAGAGGGTGGAAAGTTTGGCTTTGCGGAGTCCATAGCAAATCAAAGGATCACAGCATTTAGAATGGAGAAGGCCCCGGTGGACACCTCTGACGTGGAGGAGAAAGCGGAAGAGATCATCGCTGAAGCCGAGCCTCCCCCCGAAGTGTATCCTCACTGGGCGGCCTTTCCCCTCTTCCCTGTGACGGGGTCCGTAGCGCCGTTGCTGGGCGTGTGCAGGGCGAGCTACTGAGATCCAGCTTCTGCGCCTTGTGAGCGCGCACATTTAGGGCACAGACGGTGATGAGTCAGGGCGACAGTGTGACACCCGCGCCTCTTCAGTTTTCCTGCAGAACTCTGGGCCATCTCTTATTTAAAGAGCCAGTTTGTAGCGTTTCACTTTCCTTTGAAAATTGTTCTTTTTTTCAGTAGCGTGGTCAGGCCCTCTATATACTGTCACATGTTGTTTTTGACATTGCTTTTTCTTCATGCACTGTTACTGTCCTACAGCTAAAATGTGCAGTCTCTCGCTCTCTCACTGTGTCCATAAAAACCTCACCTGAGTTAAGACCTTAGTTCTACTTTTCTTCATCATTCAGCCACCCTTAGTCCAGCTCCTAGTCAGCTTTTCCCCCCCGAGGATCTGAGGCGCCCTTCAGTCTCAGAGGGAGATGCGTTCATTCTTTATCAGCGCTGCACCACGTAGCCGTGTCTGTGTGAGTCGGTTTCCTTAACCGAGAAGTGTTTCCAACCCTGTGCTCTGGACTCCTGGCACCGCGCTGATTGGAGAAGGAGTAGAAAACTCCTGGGGCGATCTGGAAGACTCTGAGAAGGAAGATGAGGAGGAAGGTGGCAGTGACGAAGCCATTGTCCTCGACAGTGTGACAGTGGACATGGGCGTGGAAGTCCCCAGCGCTGGGAGCCGGGGTAGGTGCTGCTTCGTGGTTGATGTATGCATTACACTGTTACATGCATGTGTAGACATGTTACGTGTGCTGTCATGTGTGTATGTGGTGTAGCCCTGCTTACAGACGAAGGTCTCCCCCAGACAGGGGCCTTAGTTTCATGTGTCAGCCCTTCCTGTTTGTGGAGCAGAGACGCTCTGATCTAAATGGGAACTGAACTATGAAGCGCGTGCACCGCAGGTCTTGTCTGAGAGACGGTGCTCACCTCCGTGGGCCGGGGGCTCTGGTGCGGCCTGCAGTTGCATTCTTAATGTCGGCACGCTCTGCTCCCTTCTCTTACGTGTGTGTGTCTGGAGCCATTAAGGAGGTCTCTTAAAGGTCTTATTCCTGCATGCCATTTCCTCTTTGCTCAGTTTCCAAGACGGGGAGCTGTGACATCACGTGCGTTTGACAGTCGTGCTGTCCAAGCAGCGCCTGCTGCGTGTCAGAAGTGTTGTCTGTGTGCTGTCGGGCGCAGCACCGCTAGCCATGCGCGCTGCTGAGCACTTGACACGTGGCTGTCGTGACTAGAATTGGCCCCTACACTTCAGTTCTGGGCAACACAAACGTTAAATAGCCTCCTGTGGCTACCGCAGGAGAGCGGCATTGGCACAGAACTGGAGTTACCTGGGGTTCAGGCGGTTCTGGGTGACCCTTGTGTTCTGGAGATGTCGCTTGTACCTGTGGGCACTTTTTCTTCAAGAAAACTGAGCTTGTGTTCGGCCCGTCCTGGAAACTGGCCCTGATCTGCTGTTTAGGCCGTGGGGGCAGACATCGCAGGGGCGAGGCTCCAGGCCTGGGGCCCAGGGATGGAGCACTCCTGAGTCCGTGACATCCGGGCCGCTTGCCGCTGAGCTGTAGGGAAGAGCCCCACGAGGCGGGACTGGTACTCGCTTCCCCAGCGCTCACGCTATTGGAGGTCACTTCCAGTTTACAGCGTGCGAGAGGCTTCTCCCTGGGACTGCGAGTGAAGCTTTAGGCTGTGTGATTGCCAGGCCACCAGCCAGTCCAAGTGCTACATGAATTCGGTGTTGGACACCCCTCGTTGGTTAGTCATTCCCTTACTGACAAAAACTGCATGTCAGCACCAGCTTTTCAGTGTCCGTGCCACTGAACAAGTAGCCTGTGCCCTTTATATATTTGTTAACTGCTTTTCTAAGGCTGATAAGGTGCACAGCTAGGGCCTTTCATTGTGAGCTTGAAGGCGAGTATTTTCAGCTGAATAATAAAGGTAGGCCTAAGATAATTGGTCATCTTTCTAAAGCATATGAACAAAAGGAGAAACTGAGAACTCAAAATACAAAGAACTGATAAACCAGCAGCCAAGTGGGAAAAGGACTAATCCACATTATGTTACTAGTGAAGTCTCAAGAGAAGAGCAGGCAAAAAGACAGGAAGTAGTTTTCAAACGCGAGTACCAGCACCGGCAAGGCCGTGCAGGGGAGTGCCGCCTCATGTGCCGTTCCTCGCGGTGCAAACTGGAACAGTATCTGGGGGGATTTACGTGCCTTTCAGCCCAACAATTGTGCTTCTGGGTATTTTCTTTCCAGTGCTGTTTGTAATAGGGAGAAATGAAAAATTTTGGTCCTGAGAACTGGCGACTTGGCGTGTTCAGCTTCCAGATCAGCTCTGTGAGATGCTGTGTGTCTGTAAAGTGTGCAGACCCCCCCCCTTCTCTGTTCGGATGTGACCAGAGATGTGATAGAGAATGTTTGGGCGGTGGAGTACGTGCTGTGTCAGAGCTTCAGGGAAGGAAGGAAACGGGTGGGTCTGCCAGCCTACACCCAGAGTGGCCTGGGCTGCTGTGGTGAAATGGAGTTTTCAAGTCCCCCACGTGGAAACCAACGTGGAGGCTTCCCCAGAGAATGAAGGCAGACTGCGGAGGTGCTACAGTTTGCTTCCAGGCCCTTGCAGTACAGCGAGTCACACGTGTTTTTTTGCTTTCCAGTAAATAAAACAATGTGCATACGTTAATCAAACAACCCCTTATTACAAAGAAAAATGCTAGCCATCCTGAGCCGGCTGGAAAACAGTCTGAGAGACTTCTACACTCAGGGCTGCCACAGCCTTCAGCTCATACAAAGCAAGTGACAGGGACGCACAGTGCGTGAGGTCTGCCTGCACTCACACCACTTCTGTTTCCCTAAAGATGCCCCCATAGTGCTGTCCGACAGTGAGGAAGAAGACATGGTCATTTTAGAACCAGGCAAGGGTCCAAAGAAAATAAGGTAAGTTTCTGGCTGCTTTCTCTGGTTCTATTCTCATCTTGCCCCACTGTGGACAGAGAGACGCACCTTTCATTAGCTATCCAGCTGTTCTTTGGTTTATTCAACCTCAGGGTTGTAAACACTAGCAGCTAATTCTGTAAAACTGCTCGCATGCCTTTCAGAGTCACTGCGTTTTACTCACAGTTGGCAAATGTATCATACTGGGGTGGGGGTGCGGGTGCTAAGGCCTGAGTTTTGTGGTTCCAGAACGTGACAAGCACTGTGGGGTGTGCCACCCCCGCAGTCAGCTTCCAGTACTGACACTTTGTAAACGTTAACTTACTTTATTCACAGAACACAGACCATCAGTGCACAACAAGAAAAAGCACCAAGTAAAAAACCAGTGAAAAAGAGGAAAAAGAAGAGACCTGCTCATTAAAGCGCACGTGGTTGTATTTATGTAAATAATTATTAAAAGGATATTTATTTAAGTGCCAGCAACCTTGGGTATTTTTAATTCACAAATCCATTATAAAATCTACTCATTTCTTTATATAGTACTTACATTGTGTTTTTAATAAACCTTCTGGAGAACTTAACAGGTCTTAATTGTCACTTTAGTTAATTGTGAAAGTTGATGAGTTTAGAAGCATTTTCTTAGTGTGTCCAAAGGGCTCAGAGTCTAGCATCATCGCGACCAAAAAATAAACAGATTTATTCCAGATTCGCTTCAATTATGCAAGTCAGCAAATGGTCCAGACGCTTAGGAAAATGTCAGAACCACTGTCTGTTTTCCTGAAACTATGAAATATAGTTATTTTTCTTAAAGTTTTTAGAAGCCTCCCTAAGTCCCCATAGGAGAAAATAACTTTTCTGAGTGAAATCCTGAAGTCAAATTTTTACCTCAAATTAAATTTGACTTACAAAATCCAGGTTTTCTAAATCAATTTATTAATTCTTATTCTTATCCTGACCGTTGGCATCATTAATACTTTAACAAAACCACTTAAAATTGGCCACATATCTAAGATAGTTACATGTACAAAAGATATACAAATTAAAACCACTTAAAAATAGCATAATTTGTATTGAGAATAACGCCTGTGTCCAGAAATGATTGTAAAGACCTACAGTAAAAACCACACCCTGTCCTCGGACGGAGTCAGACCTTAGAAGCGGGGGCGGCTGCTCCCTGCCACACCTGTAGTGTCTCTGGTGGGACGAGGAGGGAGACGCCATGGTACCTGTGGGGAGAGCACCCGTCTTTAGTAACCTTCACTGAGAAATGCTTTCTGTCCCTCTGATGATGTTTTAAAGGATAACGAAACCTGTCCAGTCCACAAAACAAGCACCTACCCTCTCCCCCGACCCCCCTCAAATACACCACAGAAACACAGGGCCTGCTAAGGGAACAGCCTCTAAGGAGGCTCTGTGATTCAGATGTCAAGGACCCCTGACCATGGAATAGCCCAGAAAAGCCAGTTTCCCGCCAGCCGCTCATGCCCAGTCTTACTTGGGGTGCTTGTACTTCTCTCTGACCGACTGCTGGGCGTGCTGCGGGGCCCTGAGGTAGGTCTGGTGCAGGTCCAGGAGACAGGGCTTCAGGCTCTCCAGGGTGTATCCCGTCTGCTGCACCAAGGAGTCAGGCTGCCCGGGACAGAGGGAGGGGAAGCTGCTGAGTTACACTTCCAGGAGCACACACCGAACTGGAGTTGGCACAGAGCTTGAGTTGGGTTAAATTTCAGTGCCAACAGGTCTCCCAGTGTGCTCAGGCCAGCATGCCATCTTGTTTATGCAGACCTGGGTCGATTTTACTGCTCTCCCCGAGCTGGTTAGACAGCCAGGGTTCTTTTAAGTGCACCGTTCAAGTCCTACCCGACAAACGCACTGAGACGGTGTTGAACAGGCCTCCGGGGTCAGCACCCCTGAACCATCGTCAGCTGTGCAGGACAGGCACAGAACTCCCCCGGCACAAGCCCCTGCTGCGTGCGATGCAGCCACGAGAAGACACGGTACGCACCCAGCTCTGACCCGTGACTGTGTAGAGTGCTAGGTGAAAGGCCGCGCCGGCGATCACTGAGGGCAGGTACTGGAGGTACGGGTCCGCATCAATCAGACTCAGCTCCCCCAGAAACTGCAACACGAAGGGACACGCTCGTGGTCACGAGACCTAGAATTCAAACCTGCGACCTCTGCCTCCCAACCCCATTTTCTCCTGTGGCCCCATCTTTCAGACACAGCCATTATCTTAGTGTTTGTTCCATTCCGTCACTGTTTCTCCTCTCTCAATGATTTAAAAAATATATACTTTATTTACTGATTTTTAAAGAGAGAAGGTAGGGAGAAAGAAACATCCATTGGTTGCCTCTCTATGCAGTTCAGATGGCAACCAAATCTGCAACAGGGAACCAAACTGACCACCTCTTGCCTTATGGGGTTAACACCCAACTGAGCCGCACCAGTCAGGGCTCCTCTTTTAATAACTTTTAATACAACTCTTCTGGCCATGATGTCCCAAGACTTAAGTTTCTATTATCTTGTCAGGCTGCTTCTCAGCTGCAGCATGAACCTGCCTGAGAAACTAAACCCCTTGACCAAAGCGATATAATGAAACCAGGGCTTGCCCCTAGTGGTGCCCGAAGAATCTTGCTTCAGCAGAATAAAAAGAACTTACCATTGCTAAGCTTTCAACTTTGCAGTTTGCAGGCTGCTGGTGCAGAAAGTACTGGGTGAGGAATTGATTGATGGTTGGGGCGGCCAAGTCGAAAGCAAGGACTTTGAGGACCAGGTGCTCCATTCTGAGAACCTGCTTCTTGGTGTAGGTGTCGTCTGTAATGTACACAAACTCTGCTACTTCTGGGGGGTAAATTTCTTCAAACTTCCTGCAATGAAAACAGTTTTAAGTCATCAGTGCCTGAAGAGGCGGGAGCATGAATATCCAATTCTGAAATCCGTCTAGCAGAGTACACCCAATGAATTCAAAACCTACCCACTCCGACTGCCTGTTTCCACTGAGAACCGACCATGTGTAGCAGAGACTGGGTGAATGCCAACTAGAAGACCCAGATCAACAAAGGATTTGAAGATGCCTCTCCCAGGGCGGTCAAGGAAATAAATGGGAGGCACGAGACTTCCCAAGATAGGAACAATGCCGGAGTTCACCCAGTAAGTGCAAATCTAGGAAATTTTCTTAGAAAAATAAACATTTCAGGTTTAAGTTTTAAAACTTACTTTACTTATTCTCTTTTTAGTTTATATTTATTGTTGTTCAGAATTTAGTTTTCATGTCTTAATGAAGATAGGATTTAGCTCATACGCCAGAAAAAGCTTTTTTAATGGAAGGAATCACACTTTTCATCTTTGTAATCTGGTCTTGGTGTGTTAAAATGTAGCCAGTGTACATGTTCATTCAAGAAGGTGCCCTGGGACCCAGGTATGGGAAAATTATGTCCTGAATTAGAAAAGAGTGTCATCTACCCCGTCACCACTGAGATAGTCACCGACTCTCTGCTTTGTGTAATGTACATCACACTGTTAAAAACCACATTTCTTCCCTATACAGAAAGGTATTGATCACTTTTACCCCAACAAACCAAGCTGACTTACGAGGCTAACAGCATAGCAGCAGTGCCCACAAGCTGAAGTTTTCCTCTCAACACAGACATGGATGAAAGGAACCTGTCAATATAGTTCACAGCCAAGTGCAGGGTCTCATTCTGTAGTTTATATTCTTCTCCTACTTCAACTAACCAGTCCACGAGGATAGCCCTCATACTGTTGGTGATGTCTGGCTGTTTCTTCATGTAACCCACTTTAGGCTTACATTTAACCTGTTGAGAAAGTTACTCAGCATAGTGTTAAGCACTGCAGTTACATTATTCCACACTAAGCAAGCTGCTACATGCTAGAACCTAAGTACAGCAATAGAGCAGAGCAATGGGCTGGCAGGTAAGAACTTACAAACGTCCTCTCACTTCCATTTCCCCAGTGACTAGGCAGCAGCACAGCGAGTGGGTCCTGAGAGCCCTTACCTCCATTTCCCTAAGGTAGGTGTGGATGTCCTCGTGGTAGTCTGGGACTTCGTTAACATTCACTGGCTTCTCATCTTCCAATATGATGGACATATCCATTGTCTGTGGTGACTCTGGGGGAGTTCAAAAGCACGATTATGTTCGTGGTTTAATTTTCTATTTAATAGCCAGAAAGGATGGCCCTTGCAGGGAGTCCCATGCTATCAAAGCATTTACTGCACCCGTGATGAAGCACATAGGCTATTTCTCTCTGGTTTTTAGTACCTCTGTCAACTTAGCTGCAGAATGATTTTAATGAACAAGAAAAAATACTGGTAGGAAAACAGTATCGGGAAAATCAGTACGAGGATTTCATTCACCTCCCACGAGGGATATTGGCAGGGCGGTTCCCCTGGGCCAGGGTTACCATCCAGGTTCCGAGACAATATGCAGGAGCTGCCCTGATAGTGTGCAGACCCCCAGAGCTGGATGTATTCAAACCACAGTCTCAGCAATAGCTTCAAGCAGGGCTAATACCACATTCAACAAGTGATTCATCTTCTGTGATTTTAAATTATCTTTTGAAGTGAAAACATCACCTGTTATTATTTTCACTTCCAGGTTCACTGAGGTTTAAATTTGCTGCAAATTTTAAATAAGAATACATAAATTATCTGAATTCTGAAGGACTTTACTGCTCCTTCCAGACCACCCCCCACCAACAGAGTGCAGTGGTGGAGAAGGCGCATGCACTGTGAGCACGGCTGTCTGGATTGGCCTCTGTTCAGGTCAAGTACAAGTCCCTGTGGTTCCACTCCTGACTCACAGGAGGACGATGCTCCTCTGGCACCCAAGGATCACTCAGACTGGTTTCACAGAAAGTGAATTTAAGGCTGGAGAGATTTAGGCACCACACATAAAAGCTGACCCCACACGGCACTCCGTGAGTGGTGTGCACCAAGTGAGTCTTGGGAGGGAATCCAGCCGACACCCAACCTCCCAACAGTGGAAACATTTCTAGGGTCAGATAAAAATCCGTGTTTGAGATCCAGTTAAGTTGATGAGACTGGCAGTGTACTGAACAAGCACCCAGTTGGGTCCATCCTTTTAGGTCACTGGGTCATGTATTAGCTGTGGGGTCTGAGAAAACTCACACCCTTTAAAAACTTGTGACATTAAACCTAACTCATTATGTAGTAAGGGTCAGGGACGATAATGTCTTAAAAAGCAAAATATCATTAATCCAACTTATTTAATAACTATGCTCACATTGATCTGATACAAGTGTTTGTTAAAACTTACCAAAACTTCCATCCATTGGATAATCAAGAGGTACCAGTGGTTTTCTCGGTTCAGGTAAAGCAATAGCTGAATTAAACGCCAGGACATCTTCACATTCTGTGTTTTGGGGTTCACCTGGCCTCTTTTGAGTCTCTTCTGCTTCATCCACATGGATGGTAAATGCAGACTGTTTACTGTTTGCATTCCAGGGAGGAACAATGACATGCTCATCATTTACATTAAGATCCTTAAGGGGTGCAACCTAAAAGGACACCAATAACCTGCTTTGAGCTTATTAAGTACAGTTTTGCTTTCTTCCCCTTCTGGGTCTCAACCTGTGTTTTTACCCCCAACAACTCCATCAGGAACATAAACTTTCTGAGGCAAAATCCAGGCAAGAGAGTTTGAGTGGTTGAGGAAAAGAAGGGATGTTTCCATTTGTCACAGGCATTTATGGGGGAGATCAGAGAGTATCACAGTAACTGCAATGATGAAAAACTAAAGGCTACAAGAGGGATGGAATGACCAAAAGATGACAAGTTTAGGAAAGAGATGGCAAAAACGCTTTCCCCCTGGGGTGGAGCAACAGAGCAATTCTGGTAAAATGGCGGAATTTACCGAAAGCCAAGTATTTTTTATATTCTTTCCTAAACTAGAGGTAAGCTCTAACTTCCCTCTACCGGGAGGGGGCAGGAAGGCCGGCTCCCAGAGCCTGGGGGTTTAAAAGCGAAGAGGAAGATGCAGAGGCGGGCCAAGACCACACTCGTATGGCAGGGCTTGGTATGACCCCATTATCTAGAGAAAATACAACAGGGCAGACAAGCTGCGAATGCACAGTGCTGGGGAAGAGAGTAGTGCGAGAAAGAAACTACCCCAGTTACAACCTAGCACGCCAGAAAACCAGGGACCATGGGGGCTCCAGACCCAGACCTCCCTAAAAAAGACCAGAGGGTGCTCTTGCTCCTCTGCCTGGTAAACCCATGCAAAACTACTGCTCGTCTCTTTACCCGTCGCGTCTTGGGCCTCTGAGGCGGCGCTGGACCCCGCTGGTTCCCGGCCTTCAGCACCGCCAGCCCGGCCCGGGTCCGGGGCTGCTGGGTGGGCGACGCCTTCTCGGGGTCGATGTTCTCCTGGTCCTCTTCGGGTGCTGTCTGCTGCACTGTGAGCAGCGCCGAGCCCGCCTCGCGGGCCGCAGAGCTGCCCAACATCTCTGCTCCCGAGAGCAGAGCTGGATGAGCCTGCGGCGCCAAGCAGCGTGCACTCGGTCCCGCCGACCGGCCGCGCCGAGCAGCGCTCCAGTCGTAGCCGCCCGCCGCAGCCCGGGCCAGCCCGCCCGCCCGCCCGCCCTCCCGCCCGGGATCGCTGAGAACCGGCGAGGCCGCGAAAGGAGCAGGCACCGCCGGGCGTGGAGGGAAAAGGTCACCCCCAGACTCAGCCAGCAGCCCGCCGGAGAAGCGTCTGTTCCTGCAGTTCAAGTATCCCGCGACTATTGAAATGGGCCAATGAAAAGGACCCGGCCCCGTGACGTCACCCGAGCGACAAGTCGCAGGCGAATGAAGGCGGTCGCGCCCACAAACGAGAAGCGGGGCGGGCCAGCGGGAGGGAACCCGCCTACGCTGGGCGAGGGCGGGGCCAGGTTGGACGCGGCCTTTAACTGGAGACCCTGGGCTCTCCGCGCGAAGGCCGTTCTACCCCGACAAAGGGGAGAGAGCAGCGGGCCGCGCTGCCATTGCCCGAGGCCTCTAGGCCGGCTAGTCAGACCGGTTCCCTGGGGTCTAGAACCCTCCGAGCCACTCAAGTCCCGCAGTGCCTCCCACTCTCCCTTCTCTGCCCTGGTCCTTAAGCGTGTCTATCTACCTGGCGTGCAGTTGTCCTAGGGGCACGGGGCGTGCCCAAGTCCGTTCAAGGCCCCGGTTCTCAGGTGACCGACTACACTGTCACCTCCCATCAGGTGCTTCTCCGGTCTTAGGCTTTTTACTTCTACCGAAGAGGCAATTAATTAATGAGGTGCCACCCTGAACTACTGTTGATCCATATATAACAAATATACAATTTCTTGTAGTGCACTACGAGAAATTCAACTAGACAGTCACTAATTTTTATCTACTATTTCCCAAGCCGTAGCAGCCAATGAAAAGTACCCAGTGAATTCTAGTGACCCAGATATAATAACGCGTTCCACGGAGAAAGGCAGGCTGGTCTATCCTCGGATGAGGACTTAAAAAAAAGAAGGTGGTTTGATTATAGTAAAATATTTGAGCTTATTAAAATAAAACCCGTTTAGCCATATGTACCTTTAACAAATGTTCACATTTAATCTACAACAAGGCTTACATGTAACAAATATAATGGAATATATTTAAGAAGCATGGCTGTTTTCTGACAAACTCATGAGTATGCCCTTCTTAAAAAGTTTATTTTCCCTGGCTGGTGTAGCTCAGTGGATTGAGCACGGGCCTGCGAACCAGACAATCGCGGTTCGATTCCCAGTCAGGGCACATGCCTGGGTTGCAGGCTGGTTCCCTGCAGGCCAGTTCCCAGCAGGGGATGCACGAAAGGCAACCGTACACTGATGTTTCTCTCCCTCTCTCCTTCCCTTCCCCTCTAAAAATAAATAAATAAAATCTTTTTAAAAAAAGTTTATTTTCCATTATAATCTTCATGCCATTTTAAAGCAACCTTTAAATATAATATTCCTCATTCCTTTGAATATGAATAAGTACGAATTGAGGTTAATGGACAACACGACCGTAGCCTTAAAGTCTCGTTTCCTGTCCCTCACAGGTGATATAAAGGAAATGCGTGGATCTCGGTGCAGGAACACCTGAGAGGCAGCCCTGTTACTGACTGCCCTGCTCACAGGGAGGCTGCGCGGATCTCCTGGTTCCAGAGCATCACCTTTAGAAAGGGTGCCCTGCCCCCCCCACCCGCACTGGTTCTACGCCTCTCCCCGTCCACAGTTCATACCGCTGAGCCAACATGAGCATTGCACACATGGAGCACGGTCACCATCAAACAACAGTGCATCGGCCTCAACCTCTAGAAGCAATAGCTGGCAGGTCATTTCCGTGGCTGACAGCACACATAATAATGAGGACACGGACCAGGTGCCCAAACACGGGTTCTAGTCCCAGCTTTACAAAATAACGGCATGTCCTCCTCATCACTTAACCTCAGGGAAAATCAGTTTTCTTACATGATTTGACAAAATAATGTATGTTGTGAAAATCCAATGAGTTAATGAATATAAATACATTTTAGAAAATGTAAAGCAGTTTATACATATAACTGTGGGTGTCAGTATTTAAATACAGGGTGGAGCAAGGGTAGGTTTACAGCTGTGAGTGAGCGTGACAGTTGATTCTCGTATAATATTGCTATTTACTCATTCTACTGTTTTCCACATGAACTGTAAACCTACTTTTGTCCCACACAGTATATTTTTATTTTCCAAATATTATCTCTCAACATAAAAGTTAAAACATCTACTTGCAAAAAATTTTATTTAAATTCCTTATAATAATTTCACTTGTACTTTTAAAATAAAAATGCTATTTATTTTTAAATTATTGCAATCATCAAAGGATATAGAAACATTAAAAAGTCATATCAAATATTTTATATAATATTTAAAAATACTTTAAGTAAAACTATGTACAGTTAGTTAGCCTATAATTTTGTTTTAACATTTCATTTAAACATTTAGACAGTTGCTCTGGGACTTTACCTTGCTTACATTTTCATGCAGCGTCGAAGAAAGCAATCAGTGCATTTTGGTCATAACTGTCCAGAATCTCCAATAAAAGAGGTACTTTGGTTTTTACATTGGTACCTTTGAACTTGAACTTATCTATAAAAAGATCGGTGATCATGCCTATAAAGAAAATGTTAATTTCCTGTCACTGATTAGTTTTAATTAATGACATAGATTTAATAAAAGTAAATGCTTGATAATCTATTCTACGTACCTGTAATGCCATTATTTATACACAAGCCTAAAAGAGTTGATGCTTTAAAAATATTTATTTGGGGGGGATTTAAAGGCAAGTTTCAAAATATAAATCATTTGGCTAATAACCCTCTTTCCAAACCAACTGCTGGCGGGTTCTGAACAGCTCCTGGTGTGTATGATATGGCAAGTGGTCTGTTTTTCATGAGAAGCTGACCACTTTGACATACTGCAGAGATTCTGTTCTTAACAGGTTTATTTAAATTAAACTACTCCAGCTATATGACAACCACTCTTGGGATTTCACCTGAAGGTAAATATTTCTAGTTTCAAAAATCTGGGCAAATTGTTTCACCTTTCAAGTTCTCTCAGTTGTATAATGGGAATAATTCACGCTACATGCAAGATGAGTTTCAGAATTTGTCATAGTTTAGAAAGATAACAGAAGGAAGACAGCATGTATGACATAATCCCCAAGGGGACTGAGTGGCAGCATCTGAGAACAAAACAGAGCAACGTTTCAGCAACAAAACGTACGGATAATCACACTAAGTGGAAGGAAAAGACAATACACTCATGTTGGTTTCAGTGAGCTTTTGTCATCAAATTAAGTCGGACCAAGTCAGATTTGATATGAAATTATTTACGGAGAAGTTTTGCTTTTCAAAGCTCTCTGGGTTTTGGAATCGGTGTTGAAAGATGGTGGTTGTGTACCGCACATCGGTTACTAAGAGGATAAAATCATGTGCTTGCCATACAATGAATACTAAGATATTATTATCAGAGTCTGTGAGCAGGTCTCTGGGTATAAGAAAGTCATTGCACGGGCTGAAGGATCAGTGCAGACTGATGACACCAGTTAACTACAGAAGACTTAATGCAAAAAGCACGCGTTTCGGGGTGAGGAGGTCTATAGGATTTTCCACTACTACTCATGTGACGACGAGTTCTTCAGTCTCAGATCTCACATTTAAAAATATGAAAAATGGAGATCACATCAACTACCTTGCAAAGCTGCCGTAAGGATTAAATATCCTACCTGATCATGAAGACACTATCATTAACTAAGTGTGCTGTGCACAGCAGGCCTCAAGTCAAGATCGCAAAACTAAAGCTGCGCCTCCCTCTTGCTCTCTCTTTCAACATAATTTGTGAAACAGCCAACTTCTACCACCAAAGCAAAATGAGCTTGGGGTGACACAGCACATATATATCCCCTATTCGGTTATGCTTAAAAAAATCAATGCTGCATGTTGATACTTCACAATAGCAACAAAACCTGAAAATTACTGGTATGAAATATAGCCTAAATGTTAATGCTTCATAGGTTATATTCGCTTCATACCAGGTTTTTTCATATATACAAACTCATACTGTTAAACTTATTTCAGTTCTTAATTTCACTTGCATTTTGTCAGGTAAAAGTATTAAATATTAAAATAAACTTGACAAAATAAATATTGTGAGCAACAAACCGGCTGTCTCAGGTTCATGACTGCCTGCAACCCTGGCCTGCCCCCCCTGCCCAGCCTCCCTCAAACGGTCCTTCACAAAGAGCCAGGAGGAAAGAAACACGGCACTGTGTTCTGGAATAGTCCACTGACCATAGAGCCTTTCAAGGTGTGCAGGTTGCTTTTTGTATTCTTCCTGTAGGTGATCTGCCTCTTCTAGAATACGGCGATATTCTGGTATCAGAAAGTTTGTATTTCCTTCATGAACCTGCAATTCCTTATTTTAAATTAAAAAACAGAGGCAATTTAATGTCCACATTTCAATCCGGTATAACTTTAAAGTCTTTACAATTTTAGAAATCTCATCAGAGCCAAATAATGACTGTAAGTCCACGACACATATACTTACTTTTAAAGCATCAATTAACTGCACTTTCTTAGCCAAAAGCAACTGGTACTCCAGCTTCGGGTGGATTAGCTCTAAGGTGTGTTTGACTGATACTTCATTTATCTCTAAAAGGAGTTCAGCCAGGCACAATAAGAAAGTTATTTTGATCAGAAACATTCTTATTGTAACAGCAACAACCAAAAAACAAAACAAAAAAAGGTTCATTTTTCTTTTTCTTACCATATGATATGTTGAGGTTAATTTTCTTTTTTGTAGCTTCTTTAGAGAGCACATCTTTTAGAATGGATATAGTAGAAATGTTGTCAGATTTAAAAACTCCTTCTCCTTTTCTACAAAATTAATCATTTTAAAAGCATAACTTTAGAAGAAAATATTTCCAGTAAATAATGTTTAGATTTCTTATAACTAATGTTTAGATTTCATTTTAGATTTCTTTATATACACATTATTAATATAAAGCATATTTAAATGTGAACTGAGGGGCACAGCCAGCAACTCCACCTCAGAACGTGGTACCTTCAAGACCTGCACATCCTTGGCTCTGAGGTCCTGTACCATTTCCTATTTCTGCATAAAGAAATTCCACTGGAATTTTTACTGGAATTAGGATCTATGTCTTTACACTGAGGACTGGTGAAATGTTACCCCATTGTATCAAGGCTCTCATGTCAATACAGTTTTCAAGTTTCTTCATGTAACTTCTGCGTATCTCTAGTAAAGACTGTCCCTGCCGCTTTGATACAAACACTCTGTTACTGTTATTGCTAATCTGAAAGGTTCTTTTTTCCTAACTGGTCACTATCGGAAATGGGAAATGTACTGACCTTCACATTAATTTTTATTCGGTCATTTAAAAAAATGCATTACTTTTACTTGTTTTTCAATAGATTCTCTTGAACAGCATAGGTTTCAATTCTGTTATTTCAAACAAAAGAAAATTTAGAACTTTGCTTATATCCAAACCTTTGTGAGCCAGTGACAGGATTACACTTACCTGTAGGTACTTTCCAGCTGTGTATCCAGGAAGGTGTTCTGGAAGTAAAATGTCACACTTTCGCCTGCCGGAGGCTTTTCAGGAACTTCGGGGAGGCAGAACGCCACCCAGGAGTGAACTTCAGCGAAACTGAACTGGCCTGTCAGAGTCAGCGTGTTCACGGGTCTGCAATTCACAGGAGAGGCACACACATGGGTCTGGAGACACGGGGAGGTTTTATGTACAGAACACATTAACAGGCAGAATTCTGCGAAAGTAGCTCAACAAATATAAGAGCGCCCATTTAACTTTTCTCAGACTAATCTTACCCATCAGATAAATCAGCATTTTGATTTCACAGGGAAAAAATGAGTGCTTATCTATACCCCTGCGTTTAACATTCAGTTAAGTGACAAATTGCTTTTCATTACAACACGCTTTACAAATAAAATGCAGTTTGCTCCAGTAGATTTCATTTTTCATGACTTTATATTTTTATAATTCTTAAAGTTCACCTAGTATTTCTACTACACAAACTACCCAAACACAGGCAGACGAGTCCTCTCAGGGAAGCCCAATGCGAAGGCCCAGAACCGGGCTTTCCCGTGAGACGGGCGTGGGGTGCAGCCCTGCTCTGCCTGGCGTGGGCCGCCGGGCATGTTAAGGAACAATACCGTCTCTCTCGCAGGGATGTGGGATGAAACTTTCTATCCTGCAAAACCACACGTGTGCGCACAGACAAGGGAATAAAGTGTATCAAACAGAGTTTAAATAAGTCAAGTGAATAATTACAGAGAGTTACGAAAATGTCAGGTTTGTGGAATTTAAGGCTCAGAAGAAATCTTAAGAAGATACAGAATTAAGGAACCTAACACCAGAAGGAACTTTTGAGATCACCCAGACCAACCCTCTCATTTGCAGATGAGAGAACGAAAACCCAGAGAGGTTAAGTTATTTCCCCAAAGCCACACAGGAACAGATGTACGAGCATAATGAGTCTCCTGATTCCGTCTGCTGTCCCTTCCAGCACGCCACACTACCGCCATTAATGACAACTTTGACTCAGAAGCGGGAAGACACCCCCAAAAGAATCTAGCCTCTTCAATGTTTTCAAAAAATCTTCCTTAGGAATATTTTTCCTACGGCTTATTTAAATTACCTATCTTTACAGTTACAAACTGCAATAGAAAAAACATGGGCCTTGGTCTGAAATCATGGCTCTGTTCTTTATGTCAGCAAGTCACTTGTTTTCCAAACATCTGTTTCTCATTGTAAAACGGAGGCATTACTACCTGCTTTGCTCTAAGACTTAACTGGTACTTGAGCCCCTAGCACAATGGATGGCACAGGGGAAGTATCTGATAATTTGTTTCTTTCCCTTCCCCTTCATTTAAGCCATGGTCTCTCATCTTCAGGAAAGAAAGAGAAAAACTATATAAACAGGAGGATTCTTAAATTAGAAGGGAAGCCAGAACTCACAGGGACCACCACCACCAACTGCTCTAGGCGGGGGAGCCCAACCTGCAGCCCACGGGCCGCACACAGCCCAGGGTGGCCGTGAATGCGGCCCGACACAAAATTACAAATTTACCGAAAGCACTACAAGATTTTTTGTGATTACGTGTCACAATGTACTTAATGTGTGGCCCAAACAACTCCTCTTCTCCTACGTGGTGCACAGATGCCAAAAGGCTGGGTGCTAGAGTGACTTCCTAAGCTGAAACAGAAAGGAAATACATGTTTGAGGCTCACACGTCAAGGTCCAGTTTTCAGAAAACGGAAAAGCTAAAGGCCATTTGCTCAGGACAGTGCTGAGAGGGAACTGGTCTCCGAACAGCAGTCTCTGGGAGAGACAGAAGTCCAGCTCGAAGGGCCTCGGAAAGGAGGCAGGGAGCCTGGTATCCGCTAGACACACTCATCCACAGCATTTAAATTAAAAAGCGCAAGTACCTACCAGAGCGCACACTACAAGAATGAAAGGCAAGTTCATCTGCACCACGTACTGTCCTAAAAACAAACTGCCCTCCTCTGTCCTACCTGTCATGGTCAATGCAATGGGCTCTCTGATGGAGCGACAGGGGCTTGATAAGGTGCTGGCGGACCTGGCAGGTTTTGGGTTGAATTCTTGGGGTCACGTAGGCTTGAAGTGTGCCATACTGGCCTTCAATGGAGCGAATCTGGCCCGACACAAGAGAGAACAGAAAACAAGAATAATCTAGCAATGTAAACACTGTATTTAAAATGTTCAACACAAGTAATCAAGTACTTAGGCCTTAATCTGTTCTGTGATATTTTGAAAAAAATAGTGACATTCTATTAAAAACTACTTTTTATCAGTAAAGGAAGATTTTCAAACATTTTGGCAATTGAAAGCAAAATTAATCTGTCTATAAAAGTTACCCCCACTGTACACTTCAGGTGAAATATCTACGCTTAGCAATGCTATGTCATGCCAAAAGACATACATTGTCACATTCTACCCTATCATATTTAAAAACACATATAAGATTCACATCAAAAATGGTTAAAATTCAGACACTTCTGCTGAAGGGATGAGTCTTCCAAATAACTAAAACTTACGTGGGATATTTAACTTTCTCAGAAATGAGGATATTATAGCATAAAGCTGCTGTTATAAAAATCTGCTGGGAGAAAAGTGCTTCCAAGAACGTAACTTGGGACTGTCTGTGGGGATGGAGCAGCAGGCGTGAACTGACACCAGAGACCCTGGGGCTGTGTCGGGCATGGCTGGCCAGCCGCCCGAGAGTTCAGGCCCAGCTGAGGGAAGGAGCTGATCACTGAGCTGGGGAGCCCTAACCCTGGAGGGGCTAGAGGTTGTCCAGCTGCTCCCCGCCCTGCAGGGCTGCTCCCAGCTGCAAACCGGGCCATGATCGCAGCCCCTCCTGTATCACAAAGGTGGTTGCTCTGATATTTTAACTTACACTTTTCCTGGCATGTGAAAGGAAAAACAAAGTCAATATTCTACCTGAATAGAAACATAAATACACGTTTAAAGCAAGACTGTTTGCAAATGTTACACTGCAAATATTGCTCTGAATGGGAAGACAAAAAGAAAATAAAAAATAAAGAATAAAAACACTGAAAGAAAATTTAAAAAGTAGACCTGAAAAAGCTATATTTTAGGGTTTCTTTTTAAAGAGTTAGCTTACACATAATCTTAAAGAGGACACTGAACATAATTTTTCCACAATAAAAGGTCATAATGCTTTCTCTGATTACGTACTTCATCTTCATTACTTAAAAAGTCTGAATAAAGAAAAATCAGAAGGAACAGTCATCTAAAGCCACCAGTTGTGCTTCTGGTGGTTGTCCTCTCGTAAGTCTCTCTATGCAGATGTACAAAAAACGAACTTGTAATTCCACATAAATAGTCCTATTTATATCATAAACACCTCTGTCTTTACTTCTAACAACCACATTCTTCCCTTATTGCTGCCTGTCCCAAAACACTGCCTCTTCCCACTCCCATCCCGCTGCATAACCTGCCAAACCAGACAGGTGAGTTCCTTTCCACACCTTTCTTCATATTTATGCCCTCATAAGTTTTAAAATACACACATGTGTAGGGATCTTATCTGCATTTTGTTTTTCATGGGATCCACTCCATGTTACCAGGAGCACTTTATCGCGGGTGTGCGATGTTCCTTGGAATGAATAAACAGCTACTAAACCCACCAGTCCCTCAATGGTGTGTGCGACAAGTCACGGTGACCTGACCGCTGTGACACAGAGCCCTCCAGATGGGCCCCCGCCTGCCTGTTTCTTCACAGGGGCTCCAGCACCTATGTCCCCCCGCACCCCCCTGCTGTGACCGAGTGCTCTTTCCGGAAGCCCCGCCCCCGGGGAGGCTCTCTTTAAAACCGCGGGCCAACCTGCTGGATAAGTAGAAACTGGTCTGTTTGTTATTTCAATGTGAATTTCCCTAATGATGAGGTAGAACATTTTCTTTTAATATTTGTTAGCTACTTTGATTTCCTCTTCTGTGAATAAAGTATCCATATCCTCTGCCTATTTTCCTTCTTAGGTTAGTCTTTTTATAACAACTTAGGGGCGGTCTTAATATTTCATCGATATTCACCCATTATCTATCTGGCAGACTAGTAAATTGCCTTCTTTTTTAAATAACTAGGTACTTAATTCACCTAAGCATTTTTTACATAGGATGTAAGGATGTACTTAATTTTCTTCCAGATGGGTATCAGTTGTGTCAACATCTGATTTTAAAAAGGAATAGTAACTTAGTAGAATTTGCCCTACATAAAAATGTTACACATTACGTTTCCATAACTGTGTGCTGAGTTCTACTCCTAGATGGTATTTTGTTGCATGGCCTAACATTTTAGGCCTTGCAAACACCCTACAATAACTTTATGATAGTAGTTTTACAGTATGTTTACCACATGGCTAGATAAGTCCCAACTTTTCTTCTTTCTTGTAGTTTCCTTGACTCTTTCAGGGATTTAGTCTTTTCTCTGAACTTTAAAAATTACTGTATCCAATTTGAAAAAACATAAGTTTTTAATATTTTTTAGGCCTACTTCCAAATTATCTGGCAACATCTTGCTCAGTAAAAATGTAATTTAAAATGCTTAATTAGGTTACATAAAATATACTTAAATATATATCTTAGTCATAAATTTATCCCAGTTTCCCACTTTTCTTTTAAAATACATGAAAGGGGACTTATGTGGACTAGAATAAATTATTTAGAAAAAAAATACATTTAACTGGAATTCTTTAACCAGATATGAAAAAATGTGTAGCAGCATCTCTCTTGAAAGTAACATACTCTGGGTCTTAGATCAGCAACAGCAGCAAAAAGTTATAGCTGTCCTTCATTTTTAGATCATAAATGTATCAAAAATAAAAAATGTTTATATCTCACACTACAAATTTAAGTAACTAAAATAGACCTGTGTGCTAAAATCAATATGTAAAATCATTATGTAATTGTAGAAATGATTATGTTACTAAATCGCTGGAAAAAAAACTGTGAAAGATTTTCTCTGGAACAGACAATGGTATCACTGGAATGCAGTCAGGGAGCCCGGGGAGCCATGTAGGGCAAATGCTCAGATACTTCAACAAGAAAGTGACCTTATCGGGATCACGACTGGTACATACGCAGACATAGAAACCGAAATATTGACAAATGAAATTATAAAATATCTGTTATTTGCTTCAAAATAATTTGGAGTAATTTGGCGAGTGAGAATATAAACAAGGTCACCATGAGTTGTTACTGCTGCAGCTGGACTCATCACTTTTACATATATTTGAAACTTTCCATAATGGAAAACTAGACAGAAAGTTTCCAGTTAAAGGGATTTTAGTGATTTTAGCGAAGGTGCTTGGTGAAGTGATAACAGCAGATAGTGCTCAGAGCTGAATTAAAACTTAACATATCATACACAACTCGTTACTCCAAAATGACTCATTTTAGGGAGAAATTTAATGCAAAGACATGTTGTAAGCTGTATGAATATAACAAACCAAGTTAAGGCTTTAAAGTAAAGGTAATTTCAGACATTTTTTACCTTGAGCTCCAGCCTTGTGGTGTTTGCCTGGCACCGATATGTGGCAAGAAGAAAGTTGTCATTGGACTGGGAAGAATTCAAAACGAAAGAAAATGATGAATCCAGATACCTGACAGCAGAAGCAGCCTCCATAATGGCTACCGTTCCTGTCCACCTGTCCTCTGGGTGGCCCTGTGCTGAATGCTTTGGGCTTATTCCTACAAGCAGCCCAGCGGGGGAAGCCTGACTCAGCAAGTTCTCATAGATGAAGAAACTGAGGCACGAGGAGGGGTTGGGTAACTCCCCCAAAGCCGGTAAGTAATGAGACTGGAACTCAAAGTCGCATCTTTAAGACTCCAAAGCTCATGCTCATGCTTTCTCCATTGGGAGTTTCTATAACAATGTGTTGAAATATTAATCGTTCTTCTAAAAATGTAACGGATGGTGCAAACTCCTAGTGTTTATATTATAAAGACAAAGACATCAATGTCGGGTATAGAATGTCTCTGACTTTCACAGGTACTTATAGAAGACTGAGAAATATCTCATCTCTGCATTCCTACCAAATAGCACAGCTCATGGCCTACTGGAGGAATTCAATACGTTTTTGTTGAATTAAATTGCAGAGGTAATTTCAGGTATTGTAACTTTTCAAAATTAAATATTAAGCTACTAAAATAAAAAATACACCTAAGTTCATGAACTGTAAGTAGAAACATGAAATATTTGATATGTAATTTTCATGTACTGCTATTCCCCTATTTTTAATAAATAACCTAAGAAATACAAAGGATGTTAATGTCAAAAAGAAAATTTGACCATTACGTTTCAAATCATTTAAACTCAGTAAACACAGAGGACCAACTGACTTGAAAATAAGTACATTTTCGTGTGATTGAAAACAAGTGCTTGGCACGCAAATATTTATGGATAAAATGCAACCGATCAGAAGAGATAACATGCCGGGGGTTAGGCTGGAATGAGGAAGGGAAGGGTACACAGCGTAACATGAGGCTGGCCACGAGCCGAGGGCACTGACGAGCACAATCACACGAGTCTACTCTGGTATATACTTGAAATCTCCACAGTAAGATTTTTATAAAACTATCATTCCAGAAAACAGGTTTTAAATTACACTCATTTCAAAGAATCCAGCAGTGATGTAAATAAAACAGGTTTATCTTTCATAGTAATTTAGAAATGAAAGATTTTATGTGTATATTAACTTGATTTTTAAATGATTATAAAAATGAAAGCTCTAATGTTTATTTTAATTCATAAACAGGATGAGAAATCAAATATAACAATACAACTGTTATAAAATCTCTCATCAAGAAAAGAAAGCCTTCCTATGAAATTACAATACATTACATTGAAAACTAGTCCCTCCCACACCTATCCACTTTGTTCTCTATCTGTTGTTCTGCTCCTCCCTTCTTCTCTCTGCGTGACCCCCTGCCAACCCCAGACTCTGCATCCTGCTCAGGCTTGCTCCGCAATGCGGCCGTTCCAGACCTGGTTTACCCTGCTTCCCAGGAGCGCACCTGCTGCTCCGCCAGCACCGCGCAAAGAAGTGACACAGTGGCGTGTCCAGAAGCTCTGACAAGGATCTCAACCCCAGTACTTTGCACACAGCAAGGGCCCAGCAGAATGAACACTAAGCAAGATTCAACAAGCCCACAAACAGCAAGGAAGGGCTAGCTGGCAGAAGGAACAGATCACACTGAAAGGCAGGAATGTGCAACACCACACAGCAAGCATTTTCCAGAAAGGTGAAGAACTCCATCTTGGCAGTAATCATGGACATGGAAGGGAAGGCAGGTAAGTGGGAGATGGGACCAAGAGCTGAATTCTGAAAGTTTCTTACACCACGGTGAGGAATCTAAACTTACACGCAATAAGAAACAAGGAAGCTTTAAAAGATTTTGAGAAACAAGTGACCCAGGGATGTCTGCACTTTAGGACAACCTCTCTAGTGGCCGTCTGTAGCACAGCTGGAGGTGAGGGGCCATCCCAGCAACACAGAAAATGGGTCAAGGGGTTCGAGCCCAGCAAGGCCTGGGCAGCTAACAGCAGTGGAAATGATCAGGAGTGGAGGCAGAACAGCCAGCGGGCAGGGCTGGCGGGAGCTGGGCGCTAATTGGATTTCCCAGATAAGGGAAAGGCAGGAATGCAGGACGACACCCAGTTTCTGGATTATCTGAGGATAAAGAAAGAGAGCAGAAGCAGATTTTGACGGAAAGGTTACGAGAGGACAAACCTAAGAAGAAACAGGGAACCCTACTGGTGTTCACAGGCTTCCTTCAAAGTAACAAAATAGAAATGAAAGCGCGGAAGAATTCTTCACCTTTTTTACTCACCTCGGAATCACAGCTGCTGAAGCTGACGACGGCAGAATTTTTATCCACATCAAGTAAATCGATGGGGACATCGCTCTACAGTCAACATTAGAAACAACAGCAGCAGGAGTTCAGACGCGGAACTGACATTTTCCCCAAAACCTACTTTCTGTAAGGGTTTCCCTCATGTTCACCTTAAATCGGAAAGCATGAATTCGCTGAACTTATATTTGATAATATGTACTCCTAGAATTAAATATAATAAATGGTAAATACTGTAATAACCCGTTTTTTTCTAATTCGAAATATCAGGTGTCATAGAACATCATCTCTCATTACCCCCTTAAAAATATACACTTCTCTATTTTTGTTGGTGCTAAAAATTTTACCATATGCTGCAAATATTGCCACTCTGACTGTATTAGTTCATTTTTATCAACTGTAACCCCAGCTGTAACACAAGAAAAGGCATAATTTCTGGTCTCCTCTGGGGAAGAAGTTCTTTACGCTTTGTTTTTCAATTAGTTCACGTTCAACATTATCTGATGTTAGTTTCAGGTGTGCGGTGTAGCAGTTAGACTGTCACGTGCTTTACACAGTGGACCCACCTGGCACCCACATCGTTAGTGCAACACCGTTTTCCCTGTGCTGCACGGGGCTGCACTTCACACCCCGGGGGTCCTCCAGCCCCTCCCTGCGTCACCCGCCCCTGCAGAAGCAGTTCGGAGGGTGACGCTGCTGCGCTGCAACATTCTATGTAAATGTGTCCCTAGTGTTAAACAACAGTCCCTGAGCTCACATTAGATAAGGGAGACTTCCACCTTCAGGTTTTGATTAATAATCTGATCTCATCACCTCAACATCTTTTTAAACCTTGTCTTCTTCCTCCCTTTGTTCTTCTCTCATTTTCTGATGGGTTTTGCTATTGTTTGCTTGCTTTCTATTCATTATATTATCATCCTTTTCCACTCCCTGAATATCATCCAACCTAGAGAAGAAAATCACTAAATGTATTGAAGAATGAAGCTGTACAGGATTTGCCTAGTGACCTACCTGAGCACTGGTGGTTAATGAGCAACTGTACAGCAGGCTATTTCTTTCAGTATTTGAAGGTTCTGATAACAGCATTAAACCCTGGAGTCTTCTAAGTCACATCTCTGTTAAGATTTCCCTGAAGGTCAGCCAAAGTACAAAATCCTTAATGTCCTTTCAGACTCACCCTGAAACTTAAGTCCATCTGTCTTTTGTTTAGTATGTACAGGATAAATAAAAGTAAAGCTATAATTTAGATAATCTATGAGGAAACTGATAATCTAATGGAAGACTAAGGAAAACTTTAAAATTACCATCTAAGTTAAATATAACATTTAAAAGACATAAAATTACCTTCTACAAGTGTTCGATGATAATTAGTGCATATGACTGACTCATGTGCGATTTAGTCCAAAAACACAAAACACAGAAATTAGACACTTTGCTTACCTGAATTAAGACATTGTCTATCGCTGTCTGTACCTCCAGAATAAGGCTGTAGCTGGCATCGTCTTTATTCAGGGTGAACTTGTCATTTATGCTAAAAGAAGGCACTGCTGACTTTGCTTTGTCCGACTGAGAAGACTGCTGATACCTCTCCCTTTCCTGCAGTACCTTTAACTGCAGCTGCTCCAGCTCACTCCTAGAGGAAAGTTATATAACTGTCATCTACAGGTATAAACATCTGAGGGTCTTAGAATGTTTATAAAATTTTGAGAATATACTTGTGCGAAATGGATTTATATTGGTTGAGCTATAACTATAACACTAATAGTGACGAAATTTTTCCTTCCAGGACTGACCAAACAATTCTACACTGTTGGTCTCTCATCTAAAAATTAAGACACCTCCTCAGTCCCACACTGGCAATATTAATAAAAAGCTGTCCGTATGGAGGCGGCTGCAATCGACTCTAACACGGCCATCTGGACACAGGTGCCCAGAGCACTCATCAGAGGGGAACCTGAACCTGATGGTACAGGGTATGGGAACACACTAGACTCAATGACAAGCAAGCAGGAAACTGTCTTCCAGGAAGACATAAAAAAGCCCAGAGACAACAGGAGGAGGCCGTTGAGCGTTCACACATGGGGACCACAGGGGTGTTCATGAGCCAGTGGTACAGCTGACACTGGTGTTGGAGAGGATTCTGCTGAGACTGAACTGCACAGGCGGAGCGGACAGTCGTGCCAGGTGCCGCAAAAGGCCGTGTGCTAATAAAGCAAACAGTCACTGGGGTAGAACAACGTGAGGCTCAGCCACGCAGGCGTAGGAGGGAAAGTCTGGGGAGGACCTTGGAAGGGGTGTGCACAGTGACAAGGAGAAGATCCGAGTGCATCACATGCACCTACGTTCCAGGTGCTGAGTGAACAGGACAGACAGAAGCTCCTCACGAGCCACATCGGGAGGGGCAGACTGGGCTGGACACTGATGAGGTACGGCACCGAGGAGGGGAGCTAGTCGTCATCAACTCTGTGTGCCATCCTCACTGCGTGAACGTCACAGCTTGCTGTCCTGATAGCTCAGGTGAGCCGGCGTGTGGAGAACTTGGGGTGTGGCTTTCATGAACTAGTGTCACTTGCCACATTGGACACTTCTGTCACCCTCAACTACCACCAAAAATACCGGCCCTCACTCCTCCCAGAGCTCGGCAAGAACTGCAGTAGGAAGAGCAGTCATGAACAGTTTCTGCCACTCCCGCTTCTTTGTTGTGTGAAGCAATTCTACTCGAGTCTACTGCAAAGGAACTGGCAAGTTCACCAGGCCACAGAAGCAGTCCCTATGTCAGAGGAAGTCAACATTACCCGTTTCCACTGAGACAACTGATAAGCCAAAGTCAGAGATTCAGAAAGGCCCGCGGGGGCAGTAAACACGGAATGAAGGAGGCACAGTGCCATCCGTGTCAGCTGCTTCCTAACGCCTGTAAAAACCAAAACACGGCGACTCCGTGCAACTAAACAACATGTATAATTCTCGATCTAAGAAAAACTCAATATACGATAAAGCATACAAAACGTACATTTCTAAAATCCAAAATATTACTCAGCACTTACTGCTGACTTTCTCAAACTGATCAACTTTCATTAAGTAATCAATGAATTAACTGTGTAATTTCCTCCTACATAATTAATATACTGTACCTGTAAGTAATAAAACAACAACTCCAGGAAATGAAAATAAACAGGCGAACCAAAGTCCAAAGTTACCGTAAGGAAGAAATTTTGCTCTGCATCTCCTGGCTGAGCCTGAGCTCCTCGCCGGGCCCGCTCTCCCGGTGCGCCGGCTCCGTGGTCAGACCCGACACCCAGCCTGTGGGGGAGAATTGCAGTCGTGTGTCAGGTGCTGCCAGTGTCGGACGGAACCCGGGCTACACGCCCCTCTGTCCATCAGCAGCAACCTCCCTTACTCCGAGGACTTACTCCTCTTCAAAATCCAAACCAAAACAGAAACCAGAAGTTAAACTGGAAAATACTCAAACCACAAATAAATTACTGTATTTTTTTTGATTAAAAGATGCACTACCCCCCAATTTGGGGGGAAAGTTGGGGTGAGTCTTATAGTGCAAATGTAGCTTACCTAGCCCACTGTGCGGGGGGTGGGGGGATAGGGTGGGAGCAGGGTCACAGGTTATTAAATATTTTACATTTTTTGCCTTAAATTTTCCCCCCTCTAAAACCTGGGTGTGTCTTATGGTCCGGAGCATCTTATAGTCCTAAAAATACGGTACTTAAACATTCTGTGAGACTATATTTACTTTGCCTAAAATATTTTCATTTATAGTTTTAATTTTCAGGTATGGAATCAACATATTCTAGCAACTACAAAAATAGCTGATGAATTAAGAATTGCTTTTCAAGAATTATTGTCATGTTAAGTTAACTAACCTCTTTTCATAAGAAATACCTATTTCTTATATAAATGTATATTAAGTAACAAAACACAAATTTATTTTTAAAGCAAAGACTATCACTTAACTTTTAAAGATACTAGTGATATGCCAAGCATTCCTTTATTTTTTTTAATTAAATCTTTACCCAAGGACCTGTTTATTGATTTTAGAGAGAAGGGAAAGGAGGGAGAGATAGGGAGAAAAACATCACCGTGAGAGAGAGACATCGACCAGCTGCTTTTCCTACCCGACCAGGAAATGAACCCACAACACAGGCACGTGCCTTGACCAGGAAACAAATCTGCAACCTTTAGGCTACAATGAGCCACACTGGCCAGGACCCAAGCATTCTTGAAAAGTATTATTTACACATTAACTGTTTTATAAATCAAGACTTTTTTTATCCAATAAAGTTTTTAATGCTGTAGATAAGCATGATTTCTTGGGATAGTGAACATACAGTACAATATACAGATAATATATTACAAAATTGTATACCTGAAACCTACATAATTTTATTAACCAATGTCATGCCAAGAAATTCAATTAAAAAGTAAATTAAAAAATTAAAATCAGGATGAAAAATAGTGACTAATAATACTTTTTTTAAAAAGTCATCAAAAGCAATGTATTAAATGTATACCTTTTATTATCGACTCTTTCTTAAAGCACCTACCACCATTTGCCTTACCTGAATACGTGGAGACTACAATCTCGTCATAGCCATCTTTCCCGACACAGCCACCCTGGATAGAGGTGACACTTTCAGACAGCGCCTAAAACCGAGTCAAGACCAAGCGCTTCATTAGTAACTAGCACTTTCAGGTATGTTACAACAATAAGCCACAAAACTCACTTTCCTGTGTACAGACATCGACACGTGTTCACTAATGTGCACTTTCTACACAGACACCGAGGTCAGAAAGGCAAAAACCCAGAACAAATGTCAGAAAACTCCAGTGGTTTTAAATTTGGGGAAAGACAATGAAAATGATGCACATGTTGGCATGTACCACTCAGCTACAACAGTAGCTAAGAGATATATATATATATGGTATTTAGAAACCAAATTAAAAAAAAAAACTGATTATCCAGCTCGAAGGCAACAGTCTGTTACATTCAAATGCAAGAGTAGCCTAGAGAAAATTCTGATAGCATTAAAGCAGCAACATATGGAGCCAAACACGAGATTTCGATATGTTCCATTTAATGAACCCAAACCATCATAGTCATCTCTATAACTAACCCCTCGACTGACAACAAGCACACAGTCTTTTCCAACAGGAACTTACTTGCTCAAAGCGGAGGACGGGCTGGTTTGCATTATCGAAAGTGTACACTTCCACCGTGCCGTCATCCCTCCCGACCAGTAAGTCTTTAACCCCGTCACCCACAATGTCGAAGCTGTCAACACACAGAACCCCTGTAGAAACAGCGAGGGGTAAGTTACTAACAATACTAGTACCGCAGTCCAGTGCACACCAAAAGAGAACAACGGAATCGGAATGGGGAAAGGAGAACAAAAGCAAACAAAGCAACACTCTGACCACATTCAGGTGTCCTTTTCCTTTCCAGCCACATTCCCCCAGGTCCACTTCCACACGGCAGTGGCCTCCGAGTTCCCGTCCCCAGCTCTGGTCGTCTCTCCAGAGCTGCAGACTCACAGATTGGAGTCCGTACTCAGCATCTTCTCGGAGGCATCGTCTGCACCCCGGACCTTCCCCGCCCAGCAGAACCCCCCCGCCCCTCTTCAGCACCCACTCCTCCCCCTCATCTCCATATGACACCACCCAGCTGCTCAGGCCAGCACTGGAGACTGCCTCTCTGGCTGCTCTCTCTCACTTCCACATCAAACCCACTGGCAAACTCTGTTGCTCTGCCTCCTCTGCACATGCGAGACCATTAGCCTAGTCCAGGCTACCAGCACCTTGAGCTCAGGCCAGGATGAATGGCAACAGCTGCTACTATAATTTCCTAACTGACAGTATTGACCTGCTTCATTCAGAATCTGTTTTCCACGGAATGTTCTTGGTTGTTGCGGTGAACTGGATCACATCCTAGCCCACTTACAACTCTCTAACGCGTCACTGCACGCAGATGACAATCCGACCCTTCCCCAAGGCCCACAGGGGCCTGTGTGTCTGGCCCTACCCCGCCTCTCTGGCTGCGTCTCAGCCGCACTCGTGCACTTGGTCACGCTGGTCCTTGACTGCTTGTCAGATGAAGCAGAATGAACTATATAATCTAGGATATTTTATTTAATAATCACAAAAATTGCAGAATCTGAACTACATCAAAAACATACCTCCCCTCTTTTTCTCATTCCGAATCTCCCACTTGTGCATCGGCTTGGATGCGGTGATCTGCGTGAGTCCCAGTCTTCCATCCGATGTTCCAAACAGAAGGTCTTCCCCAGAGTCACCTAGTTACAGGTAAAGTCACCGTATGTTTATCCCGCACTCATCTCTTTCGAATTAAAATATTTTCATATATACCGACTTCCATGCAATAACCTCATTTAAAAATAATGTACGCAACAACAGAAAACTTAAGTTGGGAAGCTGGTTCCATAGTCACACGATTTTATAATCATCTGAGGTACAACTCTTCCTTATCATCCGACTTCAATATGAGAAAACTGAAAATCAAAGTTTGATAACTCATGACCGGTAGTGACTGGCAAGTGGTCAGACAAGGCCATGCCTCAATTCCGGTTCACGTTCCTTCCACAAGTCCCCACCCACTTCCACTTCAAGTGCAGTGAAATGGCTTGGAACCTGAAGCACCCTGACCGCACACGAGGCACTGCCCTCTGACTGTGAAAAGCAAGGTGCCAATTACCGCCGTCTCCGTGGTGCAGGGCCAGGACAGCAGGTGGGCCAGGAACCTCGACTTCATAGAGCACGTCTGACCCCTGGGGGAGAGCGAGCATTTTAAAACCGAGACAGAGCATCAGTTTAAGGGAACACAGGCATGCAGAAATAACATCAATACTCACCTAAAGAACTCTAGAATAAAACTGCACAAAAAATTAGGTTGTGAATATTAACTTGTGTTTGTGAGCAATTTTGCATACGTTAACTCACTTTAAAATATAATATATAAAATATAAAGATCAAGATGAAAAATATTTAAAATATTCTCCACTTGCAATGCTTTTCGTTTTAAATGCCTGCTGAAACCTGACACCGGTCAAGGTCCCTGATGAAGCACCCCAGGCACGGGGCCTGCGTCTGGCCTGACCCAAGGCTCCCACTCAGAGCACACTCAGAGACCTGGACAGGCCCAGCATCCGTCCTAAGGAAAGTCTGGCCTCGCCTTTGGGTGTTCCCCAAACCCAATGCAGTGAGAGGCAGGGTGGCCTGCATTTAGGGACAGGAACAGGTTAGGTCCTTTTGTCTTTCTTTCCATTGGCCACTGGTAATGCCTTTCTTTAGGGCATGGTATCTGTGAAGCTGGAAAGAATGAGGCAGAAATACACTCCCATGGAAAGAACTTCTATGACAAAGCATTCAATATAAAGAATTTGCAAACTTGCAATAAAAATTTAAATATACAGAAACCATACAAGAGAGCCATATGCTCTATCTTTTATTTAAACTAGCATGAAAAGATTTAGCTGTCCACATACACCTACAGGAACACAGCAGAACACCTTAACAAGGCCCCCTCTGGGGCGGCAGACCACCTAGCAAGGCAGATGGGAGCCAGGGTGCGCAGGGCAGAGGGGAGACTGACTCTCTGCTTTCCATAAATCCTTAGGGATTTTTTTCATAAGCTAATGGACTTCCTGTAAAAGAAGCAGAATCCTAGAATTCAGTCACATCAATCCCTAAGTGAACGACAGCCTGTTCCTATTAAAAGCTGAATTCAAACAGCTCATGTGTAGGAGGAGCACAGACAAGGGGAGAAATCAATCATTCTTACCTCCAGAGAGAGCCTTAAGCATTATTTACTTCACCTTATGGGGAACAAACCTCACAGAACCACTGGATGTCTCCTGTTGTTATGAAAAGGCTGATGCCACGAAGGGCCACCTGCTATGCAGTCCAGAGACAGCCAGCAGTGCACAGAAAAAGCGGTTGGACTCTGCTCAACTGCACCACTGACGGCCCGAGTTTCTGAACCGATTCAACCACCTGTTACATGTTCCTTACACTTAAACTTTTACGGGCCCTGGTGTGTGTATTTTATTGAAAAATTACTTTCAAGAAGACACAGTTATAACAGGTACTACTACTAATAATGGCCTTAAGCAGCTGTTTTAGCAAACTATGGTTTTTAATATTACCATCAATCACTTACCTAACTAATATGTACTGAGGGCTTATTCTGTTCCACATACTGTTATAAAGAGTGGATAAACTCAAATGATACAACACTGATCTCAACTATCTCTTGTTAAAACCCAAGAGCCTCTCCTTTGATTTGATTTGTTGGGAGAGGGAGGGTGATGAAAAGATAAAACAAAAACAAAGAAGGAAACTATTATAAAAGCCTAGAATAGTTCTTTGAAGGTACTCCATTCTCACTGTATTAGCTCAGAAATCATGCAGGTGGGGAAATCATCCTTTTTTCCACACAAGCCTTCTCTTAAAAACTTGCCAAAGATCTGAACACAGTTGCCTCAAGTAAAAAAAAATTAGTTTATCAATTAAAATATTTTTTAAAATTCCCAGATATAATTTTCAGTAGGACATTTAAAGTCCTATTGAAATCAATAGTAATCAATAATTTATCTCAAGGAGACACTGTTCATTAACTAATACTCATTAACCCAACTGAGGAAAAATTGTAACAGTGCACATAGTAGCCACCTGCAAAACTCGGAGCAGTCGGTCCTGGCAGGCCAGGACTGGTGTCACGCGAGACAACCTTTCCACTGGCAGGCAGATGACGTCGTTGATTTTGTCCCCTGAAAGGTAGTAGTGCTGGTCTTTGCAGTCGCAGTAGTGGCTGTAGATGTAACTTGCACTGAGGAAGAGGTCCGAGCCGGATATGTGCCTGAGAACATCCAGAGTACTTTAAAACACCCGTATTTTAAAAATAAGCATAAAAATCTAGTATTTTAGAGATGGAAGGTTTATTTACACAGTTTTATCATTTTATCACAGCCTTAATGAACAGGTTTTTTCCCCCCAACTCCCCCCACTTTATTTCCAGCTTTTTGGTACAACACTTATCTTACAACTGAAAATGAGGATCTTAAAAGGCCTCAGGCTTCTCAAAAATTGAGGTCAGAACTGAAAACAAAGTCAAGATAATAACTCTGCATCTGAAGACAAACAGTGTGTCAAAAAGTAACTGTTTGTGATGTGTACTAGGTGCGAGGCACTGTCCTGAGTGATTCACGTGTATGAACCACTGTGAATCGGGGACCATCACTATCCCTTTTTCCGGGTGAAGAATGTTAAGTAACGTGCCTAATGGCACACAACTAGTGGACAGTGGAGGGAACTGCAACTCAGGCCGTTTTTAACTGGAGAGTTAGCCTTCTTATCACAACCCAGTATTGCCTAGAAGAGGCTATTTGAAGATAATCTACTTTAAATGATAAACAGTGGAAAAAATGCCTTCCTTAGAATTTTATCTTGAAAAAGGAAATGAAAATAAACTTGTCTCAAATTATATTTAATAAAATTTAGGCAATAATCACAACGATGTTCCAAAATCTTAAGACTGAATCAAGTTTTCAAGGGAGGAGCTGAAATTTGTCAAAAACTACATATTAGTGTGTATCTTTCACTTCCAGCTGCTATTCCCATGCAGTCATAAAGAGGTTAGTATGGTTTTACTTGAAGGCTTCACCTATTTCTCCACCTCTAGGGTATATCTAAAACTCTATTCCATACAAAGCTTATTCCGAACCCTGTAACCACCTTCCCCGAGTTCTGCGGCTTTAATTACTGCCGGGGTGGCCTCGCTCTGTGGATCTGCACAGTTGCAGCAGTTCTCTGAATTTCACTTCTCTCAACCCGATGACACTGCTTATCTTTTTCAAGATCTGAAATTTCATTTTGAAATCCATCTGCATTATATTTGCATCACGCTGTCCAAAGTGCTTCTCGGCAATCACTACTGTTGACAAGAGTGAGAGGGATGGAGACTTCAAGCTGGGAAGGACAGGCGAGTGGGGACCACTTCCAGAGGCAGCAAAGAAACAGAACTGAAATGTCGGAGATTTCTTTCACTTTTCTTCCTTTTATACCTTGATCACGAATCATAACTGAACCAACCAGTCAAACATAAATATATAAGTATTACAAAAGTCCTAACAAGAAATATTTCAACAACCAACTGATTTCATGTTGAGTCTAGGTCTAATTTAATTTCTGACTAATAAAAATACCTTTAGTCAATTTTATGTCCCAGAAAACCTTTTAAGATACTTAATCGTTTGTCACCTACCCAAAATATTATAAATGTATATAGAAAGATAAAGAAGAAGATAAACATACATAGCTTTAATGCTTTCAGTGAGGTTTGTCTCAAAAGAGAGGAACTGTTTTCCTCTTTTTGTAAAGCCCCGAATCTCAGATCCTGCAGCAATAAAAATTTTCTCCTGGGGCGTGTTGAGAGCGCCCCCTAGTTCCAGTCTTGCAACCATCCGCCCGCGTAAGGTCTTGAACACCGCCTGCAAAAATCATCGGGGAAAAATAAATAGACAAGTTTACTGCAAGTGTTTCCTCTACTGTAAAAGTGCTGGGATCTTAAACTCACAGAAATATGATGGTTCTATCACACAGAAATACTTTTTGACACAAATGTATTTACTTCAGTAGGGTTTTTTGCTAAGTATCTTCAAACTTTGGAATACTTACTCCCACACATATTTCAATGGCATCATTAAAATCTAGGGGAGGAGGAACTGGACGAAAGAAGATGAGGGGATTAGCTAAAGAACATGCGTAACCCATGGACACAGACAACAGTGAGGTGATGGCCAGAGGGCAGGGGGGAGCAGGGCTGGGTGGAGGTGGGGGGGGAGGAAATGGGGAGGAACATCAAAGATAGTGTCAACAATAAAGTTAAAAAAATCTAAACTCCTGCAACTCAAAGTAGGGTTCACCAAGCAGCAGCATGTATCACTAACTTGATTAACAATGCAGAATCTCAGGCCCCACCCCAGATCCCCAGAAGGAGAATCTGCATTTTAACAAGATTCCCCAGCTGGTTCCAATGGACATGTCTGTACAATTTAAGTTCTTTTAAAAAATCAGTCTCTCCTGGTTTCTTTATAATATTTATAAATTTCGCAGTATAAATGAAGAACTAGATAATTTACTGGAAACCTTCACTTACTATTTCTCTATTTAATAAGAAACATTAGGATTAATTTTTTCTTCCTTAGTTTCCATTTTATTGTTGCCATCAGATTCTTCTTCTCACCTCCCCTCCCTGCCCCTGTGACTTTAAAATATCTGAGAGGATTATGAATGATGGAAATGCTAAGTTTCTGACAGCTCCACCCTCTTTATCTTTTTGCAAATTCCATATACAATGTAGTGCGTTCGAAAGTTCCCACCTAGAACCCATCACTTGTAAACTATGATCTGTGAAGTGACCACGTGATAATCAGACCCTGGATGAGGTTGCTGGAGGTGGCGGAGGTGATGGGACAGTCACTCCAGGCTACACTGTGCTCTGTAAGACTCCGCACCAGCAGACCCCACAGATCCTTCCGCTACTCGGAAGCAGTGAGTCCCCGTGTTGGGAGAGAGACTGTGGAAGGACCAACTGCAAGGACCTGTGGGGGCTTCACGATGCCGAGACCACCCTGACACACAGACAGCTATAAAGTGGAGACCTCCGTCTTACAACAGCAAGGACAACCCCGTGAGCCCAGGGTAGGGCTCCAAGTCGGGACAGGAATTGCGTCTGGCTGACATCTACAGGGCAGCCGCGGGAAACGCTGGGCCCAGACTCCCGACCCAGGGAAACGCTGAGACAGCAGTGCACGTGCTGGGCTGAGCCTCTAAGTTTGCAGTAATTTGTTACAGCCTGGAAAACTGATAAATCACCCCGGCTGCCACAGGTGTTCGACTAATATCTGGCAAGTGACTCTTGTGACGGCTGTAGCCTCGTCCTTCAACTGTTTCCCTTACAACCATGTTTCACTGTATTTTAGAACATTTGTAACCTAAAATTCTTCATTAAGTAGTGTGTTTCTCTTTTACAAATTCCTTTTTTCCCCCTGGAAAAAAGCGACACATACCACTGCTTCTCCTTTCTTCATGCCGAAGCACAACACTACCCCATCATGGTCTCCAATAACCACCTGTAACACATTGAAGAGAATCTAAAATTATTATGACTATTACTCCCTACTAACTATGTATGGAGAAAACAATATGCTCAGCATATAAATTATGATTTTTAAAAGCAGAAATCAGAAACTCCAGAGTTACAGGAAACAGCCAAAGAGAAGTGCGTGCAGAGTCATTGTGGAAGCAGCAGGCCAGGTGTTCTGTCCCTGCAACGCGAACAGACTGAGAGACTAGGGACAGATGTGTTGGGGAGGTAAACGTTTTTTCCCTTAACTGGAGCATAAGAACAATTTAAGATTAACTTTCAAAACATTATCAAATAAGGTTGTGACTGACCTATTTGATATTTTTAAAACCTTTTTAATGAGAAAATTTTAACATATGCAAAAGTCGAATACAATGAATTCCCATGTATCCATCACTCGGCTTCAATAATTACTGAATGTGACTAATGAATTATTCTTAAATGCAGAGGGAGATTTTAACAACTTTCTCAAAAACTGATAACAAGAAGACAAAACGTAAGGGGTTAGAAAAACAACTATTTTTGATCTAATATATATGAACATATTTATACATTTAGGAATGTGAGTGTGTATGTAAATAAGTTGTTCATCCCAAGAATCAAAGTATAAATGCTCTTTTTAAGCACAAAGGAACATAAAAAATTGGCCAAGTGTTAGGGTATAAAACAAGTCTCAAGTTTAACAATGTTGACACTGCAGACTTTGTCCCCAGGCCACTGATTCTTAACTTTCTACGCGGACCACAAAGCCCTTTGTGCGCTTGATGGAGGCTGTGGGCTCTCTCCCTAGAACAGTGAATATTCACACATAATTATGTTTACATATTCAGATTCACAGACCTTCAAAAAGATGGAAAAAGACATAGTTACGGTTTTAATTTCTGACAATATCCTACTTCAGTAATCTGTAAAATAATCTATCCCAAGGATTCCGAAAGAGTGGTCCCTAGACACCTGGAAGTCAACGAGAAATGACCTGCAGGGCAATCTGCCCGGTCAACAGTGCTTTTCTAAGTCTTTATTTCCCTTGTTCACTAGGTTGGTATTTGCAGCGATGGTACAGCAGTAATGGTGGGTAAAATCACTGGTATCTGACAAGAAACAAGAATGACACCAAACCATATTGGTAATCTATACTCTTCATCACCATTTGAGAATTAAGGAGAAAAAATCCAGTTTCATGCAAGAATGTCCTGCATGAAGCAATAAAAATGATTAATCTTATTAAATTTTAACCCTTGAACATGTCTTTTTAACATTTAGTATGAGAAACTAGGAAGTACACATTATCCACTTCTCCTGCACACCCAAACGGTCTTCCGGAAAAGCGCTTGTATCACTGTCTGTGCGAGGAGCCGAATTACCCACTCTTCTTTAAGAAACACCCCGTTTAAGAATGAAGGAACAACCAAGAACTGAAGTGAGCCTGTTATTTCAAAGGAAAACAACTGACAATATTTGCTGATATGGTACAGTTTGAGCTTTCAAGGGAAAATAAGTACTGGGTTGGCCAAAAATTCTGCTGTTTTTTCTGTAAAATAAAAGACACGTTTTTCATTTTTACCAATAATTTTAATGATCTGGGTATTCTGAGTATGTCAGCTGTCTCTCACATGGTGTTCTCAATATCTTGATTTGATCACTATCAACCTCAACTGGTTTACCTGACTGTGGAGAAATCCAGTGAGAAATCTCTAGCACGAAACTTCGCCAACCACTTTTGACATGTTCAATCAGTCACAGCACCTTCTCCATACACTACAAAATCTTTTTTTGCATTTTAGCTGTGTTTTTACCTTTCTTAAAATAGTAAAACACTGTATGCCAAAAATGTTGCATGCTTCCTTCCATCTTCAGTATTAAAATGGCCACACAAAAATTCACCAATTCTGACATTTTTTTAAATGCACGTCGATATGACAGCTGTCACTATACAACCTAACAAAATTGTTTTGAATGAGGTTGAAGACAGCTAAGCACTAGCAGAACCATCTTATGGAAAAGAACAAGTGAACCTTCTGGCCAACCCAGTACTTAGGAAGACCTGTGTCTGCCCAGTGAGAATGGCAGCTTCACACTACGAACCTTTCTGATGAGACTAGCAGTGACACTAACAGATGTGATATGCTTGATATTCTATAATAAAATATGTCAACATCTGGAAGATCTGTATAACTCAAAGGGACAATAACCTCCAATGACCAGCACAGAATGCTATAAATTCACGCATGAGTAAAAGATCCATTCAAAACACAAGATGGACCAATGAATTTTACTGTATCCAAGTATGAAAAGTTAATCAACATGGTTTGTGATTCCACTTTAGTCCTAATGTTTAAGGGATCACTACTTGTCAAATATAGGGGTAGCATCAAATACGAAGAGCCATAATTATCTCTATAAGTTAGTTAAATGTTCTTCCTTATTTTCAACTATGTATCTGTGTAAGCTAGATTTACTTCATGTAGCTGAACCAAAACAACACATCACAGCAAACTTACAGGAAAACAGACAAGAGAATCCATGTACTTTTGCTTATTCAAGATGAAAGAATTTGCAACTGTACCACAGTGCCACTATTCTCACTGAACTGTTTTTGAAAAGTTATTTTTCACACAGATGTTATTTATATAAACATGTAATAGGCGTAGTACTTTTAAAATAGAGTAGTAAATATTTTAAATACTTCTTAGTTTGAATTTTAATACAGTAAGTATTTATATTTGTGATAGATATAATCACATAAACAAAAGTTCTTTGGGATCTTCAATAATTTAAGAGTGTAAAAGGGTTCTAAGGCCTAAAAGTTTGAAATGTGCTGATTTAGTGGACTGAATATAATAAATGACAATCAGAAATCTGTTGATTTATCTTGACAAATGTTAATATATCAGGATATTGTATTTATTTTGTAGCTATGAAAACATCCTAGTAGTCTACTAAGAATGATCATTGTCTTATCTCATCCTGTAAGATCAATATACAATAAAAATCAATATTGTTAAATATAAAATTAACATTGAAATACCTAATTGCTCTTAAAAATATAATCAAGTTTTAAAGAAGCATTTTTCTCTATATTCAACTGTGTTTTACATTCTCTTTTCACATACGCAACCTGGGGCACACGAGTGCACACAGAGTAAATTATTTCCAGGAAAACAGAATATAGTTTTAATTAAATTTGCTTGTATTGCTTACCAATTGTATATAATAATGTCTAAGAAGATTACCATTTGTAAATGTCCCTTGGTATCCCAACTTCTGTTCAAATTATTGAATAAATAAATTCATCTTTGTGTGGAAAGGAGCAACTTACCCTTAAAGGACGGGCAACCCTGGCTATGTCAGAGCTAAGGAGAAGACAGAACCGGTCTCGACAGTACCTTTTGCGTGGCTCTGTGCCGGGTGGCAGGAAGCAGCTTCATGGTCTTCTGAGCAGTGACTCCCACCTAAGGGAACACAGCGGCACCCGTGGGTGCCCTCGCCCATCTGTGATCTGAGTTGCTGCCCAGAGATCCGCAGAGTCAGATCACAGTTGTTTTTCACTGCAATGCTTAGTGACAGGAAGTAGTTATTGTTACCAGCAATGAACTTATCTAATGAAATACACTGCAAACGTCAGAAGACGGGAAACAGACCCAAAATGTAAAATTTACCCTTGTCGAAATTTATGTTGTCAAGCCAATAAAAAGAAAAATTGCACCACTACTGACAAGATACTTCACAAAAATATATTTCTAGAAGTCTTCTTTTACTAGTTCGTACAGTTGTTAAAACGTTTTTGTAAAGTGATTTAAACACCTTCGGAAACAGAGTAGTTATTAAAAATGCAACAAAGAAGAGTTTTGCTAAAACACCAAACATCCTGACGGCAATGGCGCCCAGTAAACCTGATGCTGCAGATGATTCTAGACAAGGCACGAAGACGAAAACAGCACCCCTGGGAAACAGTCACGAGCCCCGCACAGAGAGCTGGGGGCAAGCTGGAGAAAACGGCCCTCGAGAACGGATACGCGTGCACTGCAGCCCTCCGCGTTATTCCGTGCGCCAGAGTGTTCAAGTTTAAAAGGGTGTCTTTGGATTGGGGTTTTAAACAGAGATCTGGCAAGGCCCGGGAAGGAGGTCCTGGAGGGAGGGGCGGCTGGAAGACCGAGAAGAGGGGACCGATTCAAGGGCATGTAGGAGACCAGCGCGGCAGGACACGGCGAGCAGCTGCAGCCGGGTTCCAGCAAGGTGGCGGGTGCTCGGCGAGACTCCCGGGAAGGGCAGCCGAACGGGATCCGCAGCGCGAGCAGCTGGGGCGGACGCAGGAAGAGGAGGACCGCCGGCTCCGCGGGCGGAGGCCGTTTCTAATAGCAACCGCCTCCTCCCAGCCTCTGGGTCCTCAGCGGCCCAGGGCCTACTTTGAGGATCCTCAAGGGGATTCGGCTTCTCTGGCCCGGGGTCCGGACGAAATGGGGGGCGCTCCGGGGAGGGGCTGAGGACGGCGACTCGGGGTCAGAGGGATGCGGGCTCGCGTCGAGGCCCGAGGCGCCACATTCTTTCAAGTCCCCGTGGGCTGTCGCGAAGGAGCCGGAGCTGCCCCCGAGGAGAGCGACAGGAGGGCAGCTCGCAGCCCCGCGGGTCGCCACCGGCTCCGCTTTCCGCGACCGCAACGACGTCAGTGGGAGAAGTGACCGCGTCCCCGCAGGGAGCCCGCCCCGCCCCCTCGGGTTTACCTGTAAATAATCCGCGCGGTGCAAATGCAGATCCATGACGGCGGTTAGGGCGCAGGACTGCTCCGGCCGGGACCGGACGCACAGGGGCTGCCGGGAGCCAGGCCTCTGAGGGGACACAGGTGTCGCTCCCTCTCAGGTACGACCCCAGCTCCCACGGCCGCGGCACGAACGCAACGCTGGGTGTCGGGGCAGCGGCGTCCGGCGTGACGTCAATACGTTTACTCTGACTCTGGTCGAAAGGGGAGCCCCGCCCCTCTCCCGACCTGCTCCAATCAGAGGCGGAGAAGAATTGAGCTCCGGAACCGTGGTTTCCAGGGAGACCGGAGACTCAGCCCTCGCTCCACCCGCACCGCGGTCTTGAGCCACCCTTCCAAGTCGTTTGGGAGGTAAAGGGTTGAAGCGAAGACGGGTAAGTTCGTACCTATTTATCAGACATTGCAAAGGGATCCCTCAAGGAATAAAGATGCATCGTTATAGGCGTCAGCTTATAGCAGCACTACTCAAACTTTTGGTCTTAGGATCCCTTTATAACATTCTTAAAAACTTTGGAGGAACTCACAGACCGTTTGTTTATATGAGTTATCTATTGATATTTATTATATTAGAAAGTATCAGTGAAATTTAAAAACAATAAAATCACTGCATGAATATTGTAGTGAAAAATGACATTTTCCAAAATACAAAACATAAAAAGACTAGCGTTGTTTGCAAGTCTGTTTACTGTCCCCTGGGATAGTAATAGGGGATTCCCAGGTCTACTTTTGCATTCAGTCTATTCGTATATGTGTGGATTTTTTGAAGTATATGAAGGACATTTGGTCCAAACTCAACGAGTGGTAGTTTTTGAAGGTAGGTTGCAATGTGGAAGGTGGCCTCATCATACAACATCCAAAAGTCCCTTTTGTTACTGTCACCAACGATTTCATCAGAAAAGATTTTAAGTATTGAAAAGTGGCCAACCTCAGAGTGGATATGAATGTCGTGAAACTGTAATTTGTGAGTCAAGGCTCAAATTTTAAGCTTTGACAACAAATGTCAATTGCTTTCCATGAAATGATGTTTCCTTCTTCAATTCATAAGGACATGCATGCCAAATAGCAAAGTCTGAATGATCATACTTTGTCAGTTGTGCTTTTGGGAAAACAAAGCAATGAGTTCAGCTAGCAACCCAAATAATAATCACACCAGTGCTTTTCCTTGAGACAACTAATGTACTCTGGTGTTTGGTAGAAATGCTTTATGCATACTTCCCATATCATCACCCAGGATATTTAAAAAGATACTCAAGACTGAAATCAAAATGACCTATTTTTACTGCTTCATAGTGAACATTTTTCTCTGAAACTTTTGTTTCCTGCTAATGTGGGCATGAAGAAGAGAGATCAGTACTCCAGTTTGAAACGACTGCTTTGATTCATGCTGAAGTACAGCGGTGTTAACCTGCATGGCTTTTGGAGGAAAATAATGTTTCAGTGTTCTGAGAATACGTGATTTCAAACCCCCCCCCCCCGAAAGGCCTCAGGGACCCTCAGACTGCTGTGACCTATGGTGACCCAGGATGTGACCTAGAGCTAACATTCCTGGACTCCTGTCCATCTGTCTTGCCTTGGTGCACACAGCATGCTCTGCCTACAGAAACACTGTGGATGAGTAGATGCTGTCCCTTTCCTGGGTTCTGTGGTCTACTAAGGAAGAGTTCACAGATGATTGTGAAACAAGGATTAACCCCCTGAGAAGAGGTGCCTCTTAGGAAGATAAATTATTTCCAACAGAAGGGTATGAGGTTTTGCCTAGGTCCCAAGTTATTCCAGACAATTTCCGAGGCTAAAATAACCATATTAAAATAAATAATAATGCCCTGAAATCAGTTAGCTGTGTAGCAGTTGGGGGAAATGTATAGTGGACTCAACAAAAACACAGATCAACTTTAGAAGTAAATTGAAAAATAGCCATAGAGGAGATAGGATAACACAGAATTGTATCAGAATTCTATAGAATTTAGGGGGATTGGAAAGATAGGGCCAGCATAATCAAGTCCCACAAGATGGCTGGTTTAAACTACAGAAATTCACTTTTTAATAAGATCTAACTAGATAGCAGTACAAGATCAAGGTGTCGGTAGGGAACCAAACCAACTTCCTGAGGCCATCTCTCCTTGACCATCTTCAACCTGCGTCCTGCCTGGTCTTCCCGCTGGGTTGTGTCCTCATCTCCTATTCTGATAAGCACACCCGTCAGGTCAGATTAAGCCCACTCTAATGACTTCATTTTAATCATCTCTAAAGCCCCACCTCCAAATACAGTCGCAGTCTGAGGCTCTGGGGGCTAGGACTTTAACATATGAACTTGGGGAGAGGGCACGATGCAGCCTGTACCAGAGAAGGACATGCCTGCTCTGTGTTGAGGGTTCCACAGTCACGGGAGGCATGGACTTGAAAACATGCTGTGAGCTTTATCTTTCCTCAAGACCCCGAGGACCCTAGGCTGAATGTCTTCAGCAGAATCCCACACGTTTCCACTCGACATTTCCCCAACTCCCAATCAGGAGTATTACTCAATATTCTGTTAAAAAATGCCCACACTTAGAATCCTAGACAATACTGTAAGACCGAGAGTATTGTCCATTCTGGAAATTCCATATCTTTACTGTTTTCATATACTAGAGCAACCTATAACAAGGAAAAAATTCAATATTTTATTCAGTTCTGAGGCATAACATGAAATACATCAAGTTTGAAAAACGTTTAAGACAAAGTACTATTAGAATAGCACAAAAGTTCATGAAATAGTCTACAACGGTAGCAAAAATGTATCAAGTTCTTTGCGTAATTTTAATGGTTTGAAATCCCAAGAAGTAGAAATTAAGAAATTGTCTTGAAAGAGCTTCATGTAGTTTTGTTTCGTGTTCATTTTTGTCTTCATGTCTAGAGAGCTCGCAGTGTGAGAGTGATGATTTTTTTAAGTGTCACGTATTTAGTTGGTGTTTAGGGCCTATAAAACTGTCTTTGGGGTGTGGTCACAACTCATATTCCTCTAAGACTTGTCAGGACAGCCTGAAGAGAATCAGGGTGTTAAGTCTAACTCTGTGAGACATTTAAACCTACCTGGATTTAAAAACAAAAAAAAAACCCTGCTTTGAGTGTTTCAGTGAAGAGACAAGGAACTTACTGGCCTATTTCCTTTTACAGTCATGAGGAGGCAGTGTAGCCATTACCAGTGTCCAGCTCAGTTACAGACTATCTGTATGAACTCAAATACAGACACAGCACAACCTGTTTTGCATAGAAAGTGTAACTGAAATGCTTTCATCAGAGAAAGGATGTCAATCATTGGAAGCAAGGTGTCAAAGGGAAAGGACACCCACCTGGTGATGCTGGGACACACCCCTCCGGGGGCACCACCACTGCTCTGTCTTGTTTCTGCCTGTGAGCTGCCCTCCAAAACCCAGGAAGGAGCAAATGCACGAGGCAGGAAGTCAGCTGTCGATGCCTTATTTAGCATTAAAGCAGCAGAGGCAGAAATCAGGAGTTTATAACAAAATAACAACCCTATGGAGCCCCCTTATAAAAATCCGCCATCCCACTGACTAAAGTCACATGACTGAAAAGCAACAAATGACCATCTAAGACAGAAAACAAACACTATTTACTTTAGAAAAATCTTTAATGTGTTGCTTTGAACAATTCTATGAAACTTAAATATGTAACATAGTTATATTTTCTATGAACCCATTTCATTATTAAATTCTTCCTTTGGGACTCAAAGGTTCTAGGATTATCAGTGATGCCAAAAAGTCTAAGAAAATCTGACCAAGTCACAGCTGCTTGTAAAATGTCTTCAGTGTCTATTTTTTAAAAAATCCCTTCAGCACTTGGACAAAAGGGAAGGTGTTCTACATAGTGATGGCATTTGTATTTGTACTTGTACTTGTATCTAGTTGGCAGTTCAGTTCAGTTGGTTTCAGCAACATTTACTGAGCACCTACTTTGTACCAGGCACTGTTCTAGATGCTGGAGACACAAAGATGAGTGAGACATGGTCCCTGTCCCCAAGGAGTTTCCTCACAGTCTCTTGGAGGCAAACAGATAGTGCAAAGACGTAGTACAGTTCATTCTCAAATGGACAAAAATGGCAGTATTGGGCCTTTAAATGCAATGGCTTGTCATTGTTCCTGATGTCAATGCGGACAGTTAAAATGAAGACCATTTGCATGAGATAAAACAGTAAAATCATTAAGACCTAATTTTTGAAGATTTACATGATAAAGATAGTTGGTACTAAAAATTCACACCATGGTTTTTCAAGTACTTCATCCTTAGAAATATTATTGCCCACATTGTGCTATAGTTGGGCCACACTCCAGGTTGCAAGTCATTCGCACCTCTGTGTGCTGGGGGCCAGCTTCTCACTGAGCTTGTGGATTAGAATGGCTAGTTCCTCGGTCGCCTGGCTCTTGTCCTCCAGAAGTTCGTAACGAAGGCTGGAGATATCTTGCTTGATTTCTTTTAATTCACCTAAAGTATTTGCATTAAAGAAAAAACAACAACCACAATTGGTAATTTGCTCTTTGGGTTTAGAAAAGATCAAAGAGTGAAAAATCATATGATGTAGACTCATTTGCCTTGTAATGTTGCCAAGGTAGATTTTTTTCTGGGTCAGCATGATTTAGATTTTTGCTTGGTTCTCATTGACATATTTACAGATTGCTTTTCTACAAACACATAGCATCGGATTGACTCAGATTTGCAAGGGACTCCTGGCATTAATCAAGTACTAGCTTCACAGCCCAGCAAAAGCGTGGTCGCCTTGCGCTCTTTGTCATCTTATCAGTACAGACAGGCCCAGGCACCTCATTGGGGTCATAAGCTGTAGTTTCACCTTATCTCCCCAGGCCGGTTTCTTTTCATCTCTGGGCTGGTGCGTTGGCCTACACCCCAGCCTTTCATGGAAAACTGTTATAGTTCACACAGGTGCCCTGCCTAGGATTTACTGGGGAAAATAGGCACATTTAAGTAAGGAGCCGAGGAGAAATGTGAAAGGCAAAAGACAAAAATAGATGGGAAAAGGGGGTTAGGGATTTTTTTTTTTTTGGACAACAAAAATAAAGATTTTTCTGAAGTGTAGGTTCCATCTGAGCCAACCATTATTTTACCTGCATCGCTGAAAAGGTGTTGGCACTCCTGTGAACTCATAGAAACTACCAACAGGCTCATGTAATGGGGAAGCAAAAGAGACAACAGTCTTTGCATTCTAAGAATCAGAGCACTCTGAGGGGGGATAAGTTGTCGCTGATTGACTTGGTCGAGCTGTTTCTTTAAAGAGACAGAGTTTTGGAAATGAAACCTAAGATTCTCCTGCCAGTCTTGGAGGGACCCACACTGTTACCTAAGATTGGATTTTTAAAGTCTCCCTCCCTGTGAAGTTTTCCAAGTTCATTATGTAAGTTTGGAAGGGGGTGTTTCTCGGTTTGGAGATGCTTACCTTCATTTACTTCGTCATTCTCTTTGTCTACTTGTGCTTTCAGGACGTAGCGTTTTATGAGTCTTTTCATTATTTGCTGTTGGAGAAGAAGAGATGAGTGTATCAGCAGTGAGGCACACGAGTAACCTGGGCGCTACTCTCTGAAGAGTCTTACATACCTGCCACGCAAACAGCTCGGGGAGAGAGTTTATATGACTCTCCACAGAGGAATCACGCAGGTTGTGGAATTTAACTGTTACCTTCCACTGAGACCAACTGCATAATTCACAAGCACCTCCCCACCCCCAGGAATGGAAGAAGCTTTTTAAAAAGGTTAAGTTGGAAGATTTGAATTCCTGACTTCTTTTTCCAGTATGGATTCTCTAAGGTGTGCTGGCCCTACACCATCATCATGGACATGACCTTATTTCTCTCCATTAAAAACAAAACAAAACTGAGTCTGTGCTCAGTAGAGAGAACTTGGAAAATACAGAGAAGAGCAAAAGAAATAAATTCAATTATCCCACCACCAAAGAGAATCTCCATTGCTATTTTGGTGTATTTCCTTCCAATACCTTTTCTTTTATTCTGCTAGGTTGTGCACTGTCCTTGCATAGCAAGATGTAGGGTGAACATATTCAATCACAATGAACACTCACACAGGATAATGGTTTATCCCTATGGGAAAATTTACATCCGAGCTCTGCCTCCTACCAGGCCCAGAAATGAATTCCACCTGATCTTAATATGAAAGACAAAGCTTTTACATTCTTCAAAGACAGTACAGAAGGATGTGAACTCACTGTAGACCTGCATGTTTTCTCACAAGATAAAAAATCCAATTACAATAGAAAAGGTGATAAATTCAACTTCGTTACAATTAAAACTTTATTAAAACTTCTGTTTATAAAGATACCATAAAGAAAGTAGAAAGGCAAGCCACAAACTGGGAGAAAATATTGGCAATACTCATAACTGATCATGAATTTGGATCCAGTGTATGAAGAACTTTAATTCCATACGACAAACTCAATAAGCCAATAGAAAAAGGGGCAAAAGACAGAGATTTCACAGAAAAGGAACCATGAATGTTCAACAAACATATAAAATCTTCAACTCTTTTCTTAGGAAAATGTAAATTACAAGGAAAATGGAATTTTACATCAAAAAGGAAAAAAATAATAAATCTTATAATACCAAGTGATGGAGAAGGTGTGGACCAATAGGATTTTCATACTTCTGTGCAGAGATTTTCAACCTCTTCCATGTAATGGCACGCATAAACTAATTAATAAAATTCCTCGGCACACCAAAAAATATGTTTTTTGCTGATCTGACAAAAGTATAGGTATAATTTTGATTCATGCACACTGGATGGCTACTGTTGTGTTGGCTGTTGTCATTTCTTATCTGACAATCTAAGGGAAACGAGGCCAGTGCCCATGACTAGGTAGTCAGGTGCTGCGTGTTTTAAACATTCTCGTGGCAGCTGAGAATCGATGCTATGGCGGCATGAGTATAAATAAACCCCCATGAAAAGCAGTCTGGCGCTTCCGTTTAGAGCTGAACATGGTGGGCTCTTTCACCCAGCAAGTCTGCCCCTTCGCACAGCACCTGGAAAAACTTCATCCGTGTATGTGGACCAAGAGTCAGAAACAACATTTATAGCAATCTTGTTCAAAATAGCAAAACATACTCCAAAAAACAAAAACTGAAAGCAGTGTAAACAAGTATCAACAAGAGACCAGACAGGTCATGGTAGGTAACACAATATGATGTTACTGTGTTCACTAATGAAATTAATGAACCATAGCCACATACAACAGCATGGGTAGAATCTTAGAAGCATAAGTGTCAAACAGGAAATTCCAGCTGAATTCACAAAGTATAAAATCATTCTTACAAAGCTCAATAAGAAGTCAGTCTGCCTAATGCACTTTCAGGATGATCTACAAATGCAATAAGCCTATTATTTGGAAAGAAAACCAAAGTGAGAGGGGGAGAGATCCCAACTTCAGGCTCCAATGACCCGGCAGCAAGGGTGTGGGCTGGGGGGCAGTGCCCACGGTAGAGGTGGTGGACCAGTAATGCTCTTCTATGGCAGGAGGTGGCTTCCTAGGTGTGCCCATAGTTATACTCCAAAACTTCCTATGGTACACGTATTCTTGGGCACATAGCAAATACCACATTGAGAAGATAATAAAGAATACAGTGACCTGAGCTCAAATGCAGACACAGTTGTCCCCCCTTGTCCAAGGGGACAGCTTCCAAGAACTCCCAGTGGATGTCTGAAACCACAGATAGTACTAAACTGCATATATACTCTTCTTTCCTACACACAGAAACCTACAATAAAGTTGACTTTCTAAATTAGGCAACTTCATGGAGAGAAGGCTCATTCTCCTGGGATGTCAGCAACCTCAGTGTGTGGTCTTTTTTCTCTCCATGTTAAATGGAGACCCTCCACCTCTTCCCTTAAAGGAAGCACTTTACGGCTTCTCTCTGTCATATCCAAATTGCCCTCATCACTGTTCTTGTCACTAAGTCAAATCGGAGTGACTTGAACATAAGCACTGTGACACCTTGACAGTCCCCATGATAACTGAGGCAGCTACTGAGTGACCAACAGGCAGGACATCAAGCTGGACAAAGGGCTGATTCACATCCTGTGTGGGATGGAGCAAAACGGCTAGAGAGTTCATCCTGCTCCTCAGAACGCACACAATTCAACTGATGGACTGTTTATTTCTCGAGTTTCCCACATGACATTTTTGGATCGCAGTTGGTGGCAGGTGACTGAAACCCCAGATGAGGAAGGACTCCTGTGGAATGAGAATGAAAAGCAGATCTCCATTTTAAAGACGTAGAAATTACAGACCTGAGCGACCCAGGAGGGGTCAATGTCAAGTAAAAGGATCTGGGAAGATCCGAAACACCTGTCTCAGAAAATAATGACCGATCTAGAGGCGGCTCACAGGCAAAGCTGACCGTCCCAGCCACGGTACAATAGAAAAACCAGTCGAGTTCTGTGGAATCCAGACTGTGGGACAGACTCACAGCTGGGTGGACACCATTCGCCTGAACTCGCTCATTCCTGTACCAACATTTACGGAAAGCCCGCTCCGTGCTGGCCAGGGAACTAGGTACCCAGTATACAACAATGAACACAGCTCCTACTCCAGTGAAACATCACTGGGACAATTCACTAGGACAGGTGGACATATCCAGGGTGTAATTCAGTTTAGGGGACAGTGAGGGCAGATTCCTGTATGAAGAAATGTGTGTCAGTGAAAGTGGCTGGAGGGAGAGACCCTTCAACGAGTGGCGCTGACACGATGGACTGTGCCGGAGGGAAGGGTGAGCCCGGACCCCTGCCTCACACCACACACCAACTGGACTAAAGACCTAAATGTAGCAAGTGACACCTTCTAAAGGAAAAGGGAAACACGTCTCAAAAAGGGTAGCATAAAGAATAAACCATACAGAAAAGATCGATAAATCTGACTCCATTAAGACAATTCAACACATTTATACACGAAAGGGCACCAATAAAAGAGAACCTTATGTCCAAGTGGACTTTTCCTATTGTCCTGGAATTGTTCATCAACCCCAACTGGTGATGACCAAGGACGCTAAGGCGCCCAGGATCTAAGTCCAGGTTGCCACCAGCAGTTGGGGCCAGCCACCTCCTGTCAGGCTCACTCAGTCACTAGGCCAGCACTGAACCCACCACATGCTTCCTCCTTCCCCAACAAGAAAAACACTGAGACACGGACGGGAATCACAAGCTTTTTCCCCCGGCATGGAAAGGAGGGTGGTGCCCCCCCCAAGCCAAGGGAAGTGGGGCGCCCAAGGCAACGACTCCTGAAGATTAGGGTTGATTATACAGAAGGGAGCCTGGCGTCGTGCCCCCGTCACCCATCTTGGCCAGCAGACCTGCCCCTGGCAACTGTCGGGGCAAAAGGAACGAGGGTAAGAGAGAAACAGCCCTTGGGGCCATCTGTGCTTTCTTTCCTTGGCAAACGTAAATTTCCACTTGGCTGCGTGGAAGGCAGCCACCCCCATCAGGGGGAAAGTATTGTCTGTTCAACAAACGGGCCTGGGTCCTTGGCTGTCCGTGGGGAAAGGGGTACAACCAGATCCACCCCAAGTCGGAGCCCGACTTCCAGCTCAGGGAGCCGTGCAAGGGGAGGCAGCCCACGCGGCCTCTCAAAGCCTGGAGACCCACCCCGCCCAGTCAGAGAGGCGGCCCTTCGGGGCCTGCCACGCAGAGGGCAGAGGACGTGGAACTGTGGTCACTGTTAGGGCGGCGGTGACCGACACCAGGGCGCTTTCCCAGCCCACAGTGAGCGCAGGTGAAAGCGTGTCTGCCCTTTGGCTTCTTCCTGGATACATGACTTCTTTTGTAGCCGAGGGAACAAAAGTTGGCTTCAACTCTTAAAGCTTCCATTTCCTCATCTACTTCCCGGGGGCCATGAGACTCCACTCCCGCCCTGCGTGGATGAAGCTGTCAGAAGCACGTAAAAGCAGAGCTCCTGCTTAGAAAAGGTCAGCTCTTGTGAGCATCATTTGCAAAGATAAAATCTGAAGACTAAGATCGCTACATTCCCTAGTACAGTCTCTAAACTATTTCTGTAGCATTATCTGAAACCATGCTAGAAGAAGTCTATGAAAACTAACATTTATGTCCAGAGGGATGATAATGGGAGAAGAAAGTATGTGGAAAGTTCACACGGTGCTCCGGCTTCCTGGAAGCACCCCGAGCCAAGGCCCTCGGACCACATCCCCTCACCAAGAGAGGGAAGCAGGCAGGCGCACCTCTCTCCATGTCTCCCTTCAGCTGCAGGGAAGATGGTGGGTACCAGCCTAGAGTTTTCCCCCTTCAAAACCAGGTGTGTTTTCAGCTTTCTGTGTGCCCCGCAAAAAGTTTCACCTTAACATCTGCGGCGTAAATACACTTACGCACCACTGCACTGCGTTTGAGCCTCTCTACAGGGCGAGCAGACACCGCACACAGAACTGCAATCCGGCTTACCCCACACGTGACGCTACGTGGAAACCGCCTGTCCCTCAGCTCATGGTGGAAAGACAACTCATGCGAATGCCAAAATGACGTGCAGCTGGTACCAGGGGCAAAGGTCAGCCTGTCCAGGGTGTCAGGTGACTGACTCTTCAGAGATACTCTGAAAATGCTCCGAATCCTGATAGCAGCGTTAGAATTACTGTGTCCCACAGGGACCACCTTAAAGGAGAAATCCCCGTGTAGCAGACTAAGACCTGGAATTTCTTTAAGGTAAGTTGCATATTATAATCACACGGCATAAAACAAAAATACACAACAAGTAATTGTTGTTATCACTCACAGAGTCCGTAATAAAGAGGTTTTATCTAAATATAAGTAAGACATTTGGGTCAAGTTTGGTGTGCGAAAAGCTGAGACTTTTTCCCTCCGAGTTTCTTTCTCTACTACCGATTTCCGGGAGGCGCGGAGGATGACTCCACAGGCAGAGGGAACCTTCTCCTTGGAAAACATGTGAAAGACGCAGGATTCGGGGTCTCCAGGCGTTTAGCAAGAATCACCTCACTTAGAAGCAACACAATTTTCAGCCACAAGAAGTTTGAATTTGACAGGGAATTTAGGAATTTCTCCACTTCTCAATTACTCAAAAGCAACAAGGAGAATCATAAACAGAAAAACAAACTCTTTCTTTAATGGAATTCAGAGAAATACTTACCTTTTTTTTCCCCTTAAGTAAGATTTTAAGAAAAGGTCAGCTGGGGGTGTGGGGAAATATTAAGAGCTAACATTCATGGCTGAGAACTTCCCTTGACCTTTTGAAATAAAGTCTACAGAAGCTTAGAATACAGGGTTGAAAGAGGAATTATAAAGAAAAGTCATGTTTTCCAGAAGCACTCAGTGAAATAGAGATGATGTATAAGCTGAAAACTTTCAAGAAGGGAAAACCAAAATCATCACCAGAATGAAAGGTAAATCAGAGGTAGCATACCTGAAAAGGGACGAGACAAAATACAGTTTAGAAAGAAGAGGCCAAAGGAGACATGGATGAAAATGGAAAGGGAACAGAGAAGAAAATGGTAGCCATGGAAGACAGGGGAGACGCAGCAGGCATCTAGCTGGAGTCTTCGAAGACGGAGCCCCAGACAATGGAGCACAAACAAGGTTTCAAGACATAAGAAGATCATTCAGAGATAAGAGAAGACTTGAATGTGCAGATGGAATGGCCATACTGTGTGTCAGAAAAATTCGCACAGAGCCATCCATGGAACAACCAAGAGCAAATTATTGAATTTAAAAGATTAAAAAAGCCAAAAGACAAAAAACCTGGGTCCTTCAAACTGCAACCTCAGCCGGAAAACAACCAGCCTGGCCTCAAAGTGTCCCCATGAACCCGCCACTGCAGGAGTGGGGACAAGGTTCACAAATGCCTTAAGAAATAAAGTCATGTCCAAAATTTTTAGAGCCGGTCAGTATAAACGTACAGAAAATAGAAAACAGTTGAGAACACGAAGTAACTCAGAAAACGTAGTTTCCATGATCTCTTCTTGAAGACTCTATAAGGAGATAAATTGGCAACAAAGCAATGAATAGAAAACTATGGCAACAACTGGCAAACGGACTAGCTGCGGGGCTCAAACTAACACCAACATGGGTTGCACTCCTGACAGGGTGGTGAAGGGGACCAGAAGAGGCCACCCCAAAACATGCCACAGGGGCTTATTTTGAACCGAAGGCAACTGAGAAGCAGAAAATGAGGAAAGCGATCTCTGCCCCCTCCCACCCACCTAAAAGCAGGACTTCGGCTTCCCTAGGGGAAGGGCTGGCCCTCCAGCCTCCCGCACCGTCACCGGGACAGAAGGCTGGCTCGGAGACAGGTCTGCACAAACCAGCCTTCCTAGAGCCCCGGACCAGTCTCTCCCAGTCTCTCCCAGCAGCCTCCTGCAAACGTACTTATTTACCTTCCCAGGACTTCCCACCCCCAGGAGCCCAAACCTCCATTCCTTTGTCTTGCCGCTTCTCCCGGAAGGTATCTGAACCCCACATTCTAACTGCCCCTTTCGAGTTACTTATTTCCTGTGCCTCCAAGCTCTGCATGTATAAATAAGCTGTATTTCCCCCCTCCAATTAATCTGTCTTCTGTAAGTTTAATTCATAGGCCTTCAGTACCAAACCTGATGGGTAGAGGAAGGGTTTTTCCCCCCCTCTCCTACAGTTCTAATGATTTAACTAGCAAAAACTAGGAGGAGAAGGGGGAACGTGATGCAAGATAAACAAGCACATTGATTTTCTCATCTTTTAGGGCTGGGGGGTCAAAAGATAGCACTTGAAACTTGGAAACCAAGTAACAGAGATATCATTACCGGTAAAGACAGAAAGATAAGCCTAAGACAAACAATATAATCCACTTCAGCAGGGACTATCAGTTCCCTTCCCTGTTTTTTGTTTTGGTTTGTTTTTTGGCTTGGCACAAGGCCACTTGGAATTGAAACTTTCTTTCTTAGTTTCCCCTGCAGATGAGCTATCTGCGCTACTTTATAGAAGCTCCTTCTAGGGAAGAGGCCTCTCTTTCTTCCCTGTTGCCTTCTAATTGTATCTTGGAACCCAGAAACAATAACCAGGGCTCCAATAGCTTTCCTGGGCCATGAGAACCCGAGGCTTGACACAGTGGAGAAGGCGTGGGTCCCAGGCATCGTTAGGGACCATACCAGGCCTGGAATGGCCACCTCCTGACTTCCTGAACGTGAGAAAGACATTTCTATCTTCTCTGAGCCACTCAGTGGCTGGTATATTTGGTGGTTCTGTGTCATTCGCACCAAACTTAATCCTAATTAATATGAGCATTATGAGGATCACTCTGAAGTGATAGTAAGCACACCGGAGAAGACCTGAATGCATGGAAAGGCATGCATCGTGTTCTTGACAAGAAAGGCAGAACACTATAAAGATGTCCATTCCTGGATGAACACGATCACAGGAAAAACACCAACAGGATATTTTGCAAACAAACTACCCAAGCTGACTCAAAAGTTCAAACAAATAAACCAACAGAAGAGCCTAAAAAACCATGTAAGAATCCTCAAGTAAGGACATGTGAAGGTGTGTATGTATTTCATTTGTGTGATTTTCCTTTAAATTATAATAATTAAAATAATGTGGTTCTACAGCACAGAAAGCCCAGAACCATCTCGAAACAGACACAGGAATTCAGTAAATGATAAAGGTGGTGTTTTCAATGGATAGAAAAGGTAGAGGACTCAACATGGCCAGCAGGTGTCATCACCTGGAAAATAAACTGGAACCCTCGTCTCACATGTGCATGGAAAGGTCTTCTCTGTGGGTCAGACATCTTCCAGTAAAAAGTTAAACCAGGAGAGTACTAAAGAAAATACGTAGTTTTTCCAAATTTTTTTCTCATATGGTGGAAGATCTTTCTAAATAGGACACACAATCTGACATCATAACGACATTTGTAAAATTGACTACACAAAAATCAGAAAGTTGGAAAAAACACTCGTAACCATTAAAAAGACACAACACACTGGGGCGGGAGGTGGAGAATTCAGTTCATACCACAGATAAAGGGTCGATTTCTTAAAGTAATTTTTAAGAGAATTCCTCTTAATCCATAGCAAAAAGCCCACCAAGAGAGGTGAGTATATATTGGGTCTTAAGTATAGAGAACACTAAAAGTAAAGAGAGGGTCAAGTTCATTCACGATAAAGAATGCGAAGTGAAACTACACTTCGATACCATCTTCACCATCAGGCCAAGACAAACATCTTTGGTAACACGCTGTTGGGGAATGAAGGAGGCTATGGGCACTCTCATGGATTTAGTTTAAGAATTTAAATTGGTACACATTGCATCAAAATCAGTTTGATGATAATAAAAAAATCAGAGTGCACTTACACTTGAACCAGAGAGTGCTACAGATTTCCACACTTCAAATGTCACATGTGCAAGGTTACTTACTGCAGTGTGGCTTGCAGCAGCTAAAACGGGCAATAGCACCCATTTCCATCAACAGAAGACTGACTAAGTAAGGTCACATAATGGAATATATAACCATTAAAAAGTCAGGCTTTGGCAGTGGGCCAGCAACTTTGCAGAATTTGCTGCTATAGAAAAACTCCATAAACAATGATAATCATTCATTATCACACATTATAAATTCCTCATTCCTTGTTCTTGTGATCTTGTGCACATCATAAATCTAAAGATTGGATAATCAAAAGTGATCAACCAAATGGAAAATTAAGGACTAGAACCTCTTCTGAATTGGAAAATAGTGTTCACATGTCACATCCGACATCAAAATGCAAAAGGTATTTTAAAGTAGCACCGATGAGACAGCGCAGCCTAAGAATCCATTTGAGAAAATGAATTTGAAGAAGTGAATCAGAACATTATTTTCCAAATGCACCGGATCTCACCCCACTTCCTCCAGCTCAGGGGAAGTGTCCTTCAGAAATCGTGGCAACAACTTTGTTTTCAACAGAGCAAAACAAATTCCTCCTCAAGTTAAAAAAAAAAAAAAGAACTTGGGCTCTGATTTATAAAATTCCCTCTATAGTTGGACATACTCTCTTCTATCTTCATAGTATATCTGAAAAATCTAATTGTCCCCATGACACACACACACACACAGACACACACAGAATTACAGATAGACAAGGAGAGATGTCTAATGGATGCTTACCTGATAGCGTGTTGGCTGATTGAGAATGCTGTTAAAACTGTGTGATTCAAAAACTCTCGGGTTAGACTGAGTGAAGAGGTTTAACTAGGAAAAAATACAATTAACCTAGTAAATTAGAATACATTCATTTGGAAAATCAAAAATATAATCTACTTTACTCTCCTTGGTAACACTTCTGGAGTCCACCCTTTGGAGGAACATTTTGTGGAAGTCGAGTTTTGTGAGTGATCTGATATGTTTCCAAAGGTAAAAATCAGTGTGAGCAACACGCTCACGTTTATCGGCATGTTGGCAGCGTGCGCTGCAGCAGAGCTGATTAACCGTAAAAATTCTTTGAAAAGTTGGCTCGTGCCGAGCAAGCGTCACTGTTCCCAGAATCGTGGCCGCTTAGTCACAATGAATTTGGGACACCGTGAAGCTGCACGGGAGTGAGTGACGGCCCTGCTCCCAGCCCTGCTCCTCTCCTCCACCTGAACAGAAACCCGCACGCTCGGAGGGCAGCCTTCAGAATTGGTGACCCACACATGGGCCCAAAGAGCCCGGAGGCTCGGGAGTCTTTAACAGACTTCACAACTTTGGAGAGGACTGGGCTGAAGAATTTTGTTTTTTTTTTCCTTTTTTCTTTCTCAGTTTTAATTTGGGCAGGTAAGTCCCCAAGGCAGGAGGCACATGTGGTCACCACCATTCTGCCTGGGGCAGCGAGGGGCCCACTCTCCCCACACAAGGTGTGCTCCAAAGTCAGCGCCCCGCCCCCACCAGCCTGCCTGTCTTCCAGGGATATGACTCAGGGAATGTGGGTGCCTGACGAAGGAAGGGGACCCTCCCCACTCTGTCCTGCCACCGTGGAGCCAGGAGGAAACTTCAGCTGGCGAAGAGAACTCTCCTAGGAGCCACTGGGGGTCAGTCTCAGACCACCGACTGAGGCTGGATTACAAAAGAGTTCTGGAGGCTCCTTCCTTTCTTCTAAAAAAAAAAAAAAACAAAACGGAAGCATGATTCATCCAAATTTGTGCTAAGTTCAGTCAGTACACAGAGAGTATCTGTGTCTATGAGATTTTGAAGTGCAGCTCCACATACAATTTAAGACATAAAATCAAAATGGCAGTTTTTAACCAGAGACTGGGTCGGGCATCCAGGGGCGTGGCCCCTGAGCTCAGAGCCCAGCCTTCGCTGCATTTCCAGCCACCTCTCCGAGGAGAACAGCTGTCCTTCCCACTGACCCCTGAGTGGGGCATGCCACCTGTCCTTTAGGGGGTCCAGGAAGCCCCCTGGCATCTACATGCCGTCTCTGTTAGTGTCTGTCCTCTACATCACCACAACATCAGGCACAGAGTCAGTGGAACCGGTTGCCTACAGAACGATGCCTCTAAGGGGTGAAGTGTAAGAGCCGTGTCTTCCCATTCTTGAGAGGCTTCCTTTGACAATAATAAAGGCTCGGTGACTAAACGCCTAGAGAAACAAAGTCCATTTCGGCAGCAGCAGAATTTGCCCAAGGCGGCATTCAGAGCCTGGCCCCTTTAAGAGACCAGCCACCCTGCGGTGGAAGGTGCAGCTGGTGGGGAGGAGGGTGGGGCAGGAAGCGAGCCAGAGCACAGCTGTGAGCAGGAGGCAGCCATGTGCAGCGGGGCAGGTGGAGCAGGAAGAGCTAGGCATCCACCACTGACTTGAACCCCACACCCGCCCCGAGCTGGCTAGCACCGTGACCTTGCACGAGTGAGTCACTTAACAGCTTCGGTGGTCTTACCTATAAAATGGGAGTGACAGTCACACCTACCTCACAATGTTGCATGAGGTTCAAACGTACAGCAAAGCACTCTGTAAACTGTGAACGAGGAAGGGCACTGGCATTTGTTGAGGCTGGAACTTTGTACCTCTGTCATCCCCATAAGAACCCTAGGAAGTCTCCTCTTTCGGTTGGGACAGGTGAGGCTCAGCTTGAGGAAGAGCCTTCTCCATGGTGCGTGCTAATGAGCCACAAGCACCAGAAATCAAATCTGGTGTGACGCTGAGGCTTCTTCCTTACACTACACTGTTGCTCTCAGTGCACAGACAGGGCCTCGTTCGGAATCAAGGAATGTCCCAGCCAGTCGCTGCCCTGCAGCCTCAAGAGCCCACCGCCAGGTGTAAAGGTGTCAAAGGCCACCTTCTTAAAAAATAAGAGGCCAGGGTTTTACAAATCTTGGAAAGGCACATCTGTTTTAGGAAGTGAGAAATTAAATTGCACCAATCCAGCCTCTGCCCAGATGCAGCCGAGCAAATGCATCTCCTGTTCTGGAGGGCCCGTCTTTCACGAAGATGGCCTTGCTGTGTCGGGGCTCCCTGCTGCCGGCCGTGTTCACAGCCTGGCGCATTCACTCCTGCTGCCTTGCTCACTAAGATCTGAGGTTCTGCCCGTGTCCTTCTGTCTCCTATGCCCAGGCTGTCTCTGAAAACTAAGGTCACGACAGTGAACTGCTGTCACGAAACTCACCTCTGTTGATGAGTTTGACTCTACCGAGACCACTCAAGGACAGACCATTCTTGATTATTTATAAAAGGGGCATTTCCGGTGAATATTTGAGGGTGCCCATAGGCTTGCGGTGATTTTATAATGAAGGAAAATGTTTTTAGCCCCCAATGGGTCTGTTCCAGTAAGACCGTGGTCGTGCGGACTGCAAGTGCAGCCACGAGGAAAACATGCCATCCGAACCGTTTCACTTCAGGACAACTGAGACGCACGGACACAAGGAACAAAGAGTTCTGTCCACTTCTGACGAGTTAAAGAGGTTTCTTGTTTGTTTGTTTTGAATCTGTTAGTTTACATGCAGTTATGACCAAAAGCAAGGCATAGACTAAGTGACTTCTGGAAACGATGTAAAGGTATTAAGTATTAGTCTATGGAAGACTATGGAACAGACAATACTTCCAGCTCTAAGTTCACACATAAAAACTACTGAACACACATCAAAGACAAGGAGAAAGATGACATTTATCATAAGATTGGGGTCCGATACCTACCCTGGACTTCGAGTTCCCCAGTCCCATTTCTATGTCCTTCTGAAGCCTTCTCCGTCTGCATTTGGAAAAGTTAATGATCCGCATGATGAAATAAACAAATGACTTTGGACTGGGGACTAGACTGAAGGGTGGAGGTAATGTTTTTCCATCATCAAAATAAGATAGCCAAAGTTTTGAACGAGCAAACTTCCATTCTACATCACTGTCATCCTGTGTCACAAGACAGAAAAGAAAGAACTCATTTTAAAAACTAAAAATTCTAGTAATTGATTCCTGTAGGGTCTTACAACGAACCTAAATTATGCTCTTGAAATAGATAAGTGACTTATTAGTCTCTATTATCCCATATAATATTTTATCACTTTCTTAATATCCATTTCTTAAAAATTTTTCTCTCCCATAAGCTTCTGTGTGCACCCACTGAAACAACCAGAACTTCTGTCCCCCGTGCAAAAACAAAGCGAAAGCACGAGAGTAATTCAGGACCGAGGAAGGATGGAAGGACTCATTCCTCTTTCCCCTGCCAACTCTGCATGTCCGACAATAGGTCCCCACTCTCTGATCACCCTCCTTCTCCCTCTTGCCCCTCCAGTAGGCTGTGGATACAGCACCTTACACCCCACGAGCAAAGGGGAAAACGCACTCAGGTGAAATTGCACTTTGGGGTTTATGTGCCTGCCGTACGTCCTCAAATGTCACAAGAGGCCCTCCATGGCCCACTCCTGTCCTGTATCTCCTTTGACCCCCGGTACTACCCACAGGGATGGGCATAACATGCTGACCGGAGAAGGGTGGACAGAAGACAGGACAGGAGGCGGCCCCAGGTGGAGGAAGCGGGCTCACTCGGCTCACACGCCCCGGACTGCCATCGCCACACCCAACCCGGTGTGCAAAGCCCCTGCTTCCGTTCTGGAGGACCTCGCTTTGACAGCGCCATCTTGCATATTTCTGAAGCACACAGAGACTCACTGGGCTTAACAGACAGCGAAGCACTAAGCAGATGCCCAACACTAAACCGGAGGACATAAAACACGTACACAGTGGTAAAGAAGGTTCCAAATGAGCCCAGTCCAAAACAAAAAACAAAGGGATTTCTAGAATATTGAAAATTCTGACTGGATAAGAACATCACCAATGTTAGCCAGGTGTCTAGTAATTCCTCAACCGGGGCCTTTCAGGCAGTTGGCTGGCTAACCTAGGAGAGAGTAACTTCCCAACGGCCAGTGGTTCTGCTAGCACTGACTTCAAAACTTCCGAAATACACCCTGGGAGTGAGGGTGAGGTCACGGGCCCCACCGTGCTCCTGGAAGACAATGGGAGGCGTGTGGCTATCCACCCAGGAGGAAGACGCAGAGAAGGGTCCAGCCTCCTGGTTCACACAAGCTGGGCATCCCCAGGGCTTACAGCACATGTGTGATCGTGTGAGTAGAACAGGTGGCGAGGAGAGACGCCACAGGTAGGAATCATGCTTACCTCAATTTCTTGGTACGAACTGTTAATCATAGCAATCAACATGTTGAGTAAAACGACCACCATAGTGACATTGTATATTCCATAAAGAACGTATCCAATATTCTCTATGAATTTGTGATCATATTTGAGCACGACAGAAGTCACTTCAGACAGCCCAAATATGGACCAGAACAACGTCTTGAAACTTTCTTCCACGCTGTTGAAAGAATAAGGTACATAGTCAACACATGAGTAGTTTTCAATGTTAGAAAGTCAAAGGCAAAACCAAGTTAGGCTCTGAACACAGATGCAAAACGCCATCATGAAATAGCACTAGCACAAACCCGGGAGCAGAGCCATTTTCTTGTAACATTTAACAGAAAGCATTCTGTCGGGTTTTCAGGAACTCGCAACCGAACGGTGCCAAAGCCCAGCTTTTCTGTAAGTTACCAGGAAAGAATTCCCTGAAGTCAGCGGGGGAAGAAGTCATACAATTCCCAGCCCCTTCTCCTGTGATTTTGTAGGTGGCTTAGAATCTACATTGGGTTTTCCAGCATCGTCCTTGCAGCCCGGCAGTCAGGAAGAGTGAGACCACCCTAGATGCCCACCCAGGGGCACAGCACAGTGCAGCCTTGGGGAAAAGGAGACCGGTCTAGCCTCACGGGCTTAGACAAAATGGTAGCGGTGATGTAGTCTGAAGTGAAAAAATAAGGTGTAGCGAGTAACAAATATTCTACCATTTGAACAAGAAAGGGGAGTAGGCGGACACTGCTGTCTCTGTGAGCGCCCGTGGGGACAAAGGCGCACTCAGAGCCTGAGGCCCAAGGGCGAGCGAGAGAGGACAGGCTGTTCGCCGCAGACACTGCCCCAAGTGAATGATGTGTCACAAGAATTGATTACCTAGCTGAAAGTCATGCTTAGCTGCGAGAGAACAGGAGGCAACAGAATGAAAGATTCCTCTTCTTTCCCCTCAATTTAAATTAGCCGCCCCCCCGACTCTTCCACCCCCACCCAGAGCACAGAGGCCCTCAAAAGCAGGCTAAGTCCCTGCTTTTACCCCTTCAGCGGGCGTCGCCAGCTGAATCTGGCTGGTTTGTCACTTAACCCAGTTGTAACCACTATGAACAGCAAGGCAATCCTTAAACTAAACAATTATGCACGTACAATTCCATCGCAAAGGAGAGGACAAAAGGAAGTTCTTTTTCTGAAGAAAAGATTTATGAAAACTTTTTTTGGTTTCTTATAACAGCTTCTAAATAATTCTAGATTTATAGGCTTCGGTACTAGTTTATTAATTCATTGGTTCAACAAATATCGATGGAGCTCCTATTATGTTCTAGAAGTTGTGCTACACCCTGGGGGTAGAGGGCAGAGTGAAACTGCTGTTCCTGCAGTCGCTCTATCATAAAATACTGGACCATGTGATGTCATACTGCGCATGCCAGGCGGGGACAGAGGAACTACGACCTCCGCGTTACCACCGCTAATTTCACACGTCACAAACTCCCTGCCTTGCTTTCTCCTTCTTGCTGCTTTGCACCCCACCTTCACTCTCTCTGTCTGCAGTGAAGTCTCTCCCTGGGTGGGGAGAGGGGACAGATGCCGGCAGGTCCTGAGCCCCGCACTGTGGGCAAGAGGCTTTCTACAAATACCTCGTGTAACCCTCACTACGACCTGATTTAAACCTTTTCTGTGCTTGTTTTGCAAGTAGGGAAACTCACCCAGAGACACATTAAGTAACTTAATCAAAAGGCCACAGCTAGAGCCCAGCAGGCCTGCATTCCCAACCAGGTCTGATTTTCAAGCCCGTGTTCTTTCCACCTCAGCAGGTTGCCCCGTCCTCACATAGAACCCGAAGAAAATGCCAGGCGTCAAGTGAGTTCTCAGAGTTCTGGGGGAGGGGGGGGTTGTGTGCATGTCTCTCTGTGCCTCCCCACAGGGTTCAAACAGAGTTTTTTCTTCACTGAAAGCAAGTGAGCTTCAGATCTCTTTCACCCCTAAGACCTGCTCCATACTGAGTATTTGAAGACATTCACTTCAAAACAACTTGATGCCTGGGAGGGCAGGAGGTTCCGCCTGAGCCCACGGGGAACTTGCTGACTGTCCAGCTGGTGTCCGGTGTGGCATTACAGGGCACAAAGGCGGACAGCGGGGTTACGACCTCCCCACTTGCAAGGACTGCAGCACAGGAGAGCCACCCCTCGTGACAACCAGACCCAGATAGGTGACAGTGAACTTACAGTCCAGATGTCTCCATGCTGAGAGAACTTAAAAAGGACAAAGACTAAGGGAGCTTAATCAAGGAAGACTTCCTGGGGGAGGGGGTCTCCACAGTGGTCACCAGCACAGCTAAAGGAAGGGAACAGCATTGCCCTCACAGCGGGCTCTATGCACTTAGCTGTGATTTCTCTTCCTCCACTCCCTGGACTAATTAGTGATGCATTAAAGTGAGAGCTGACGCCTCTTTTTTGAAATAACAGTAATGGCTACAAAATGATGAAACTAAATTTAATGTCATACGTGATGTAAGAGACATCCAGCATTAAAATTTTATTACCCAACTCTCTCAAAATAGCCAATTTTGTCTAGGATTTTTCTGAATGCTGACTCATTCTGGGGTCAAATGCTCACTAAGCTCCAAAAGAGGAATCTTTGGAGCAATGTAATTACACACAGGCGCTAATTATTTTTAGTGGATTTTTTCCCACTCTTAACACCGTCTGCATTCCGATCATTGCACCTTTTCCTCTGCTCCCTCTAGACGTGTTGGGGCCGCTCTTCCTCGTACTGCTTTTTTTCTGGATATCTTACTTACGTGGTAAAAGCAGCGTTAACTTTGGCCCCAAGGTAGTAAGAGTAAAGTATGAACATGCCAATCATAAAGGCAAGAAACACCATAATGAAGAGGACCATGAACTTGAAGATGTCCTTCACGGTCCTGCCGAGAGAGATCTGCAAGGGGCCGAAGCTCTCGTTGGCGGGGAGGATGTAGGCGATTCGGGAGAAGCTGAGCACAACGGCGATGGCGTAGAGGCCTTCAGATATGATCTGCGGGTCCGAAGGGAGCCACTTATCTCGGGCTGGGAAGAGAGGGGGGAGATGAAAGCTGACTTTCCACTCATCGCCCACAATGCAGAGTCAGTACCTTACATAGGGTCTGTCTTGTGGGTGGGTGCTTAACCTCTCAGTCAGAAACACTCTAGAACCGATGACCAGTATGGGCTCTCCTTTGTCACGTTAAATAAGAAACATATGAATTCTACGCCCAGATTAGTTATCTCAGTGGAGAAAATACCATTAGAAAGACACTCGGCTGACTTCACACTGAGCAGAAACAGAGCAAAACAAAGAATGGAGAAAGATTTCTCACTTCCTCGGATGCACACAGCCTGGGTCAGGACTGCAAAGCGACGGCCTCACTGAGTTCCCCTCACTGACTAGGTTTATCGGCCGGTCAGTTTCTCAGCCTGGCAACTCAGCTGCCCCACAACTTCTGCATCTCACAGGGGGGACGTGGGTTCGTCTCACGGCAGATGCAAGTCAAGGGTCGTGGTCAGAGAAGTGAGAATGTCACCGAATCACAACAGCGCTGTCCGCACAGTATCTGAACAACACAATTCTTCCCGGAAATCAAAAACTGCTACTGAGGTGCCCCTTGTTTTGGAGACAGATTCCAAATGAGGACCCTGAACACCCTATGAAGGTCACATAGGAAGGTCACAGCAGACTACACTCACTTCCCCGGAAGGTCGATGCAGCGCCCTGTGGTTAGTTTTGTGTGAACCGGGCCTCTCCCAGAAAAGTGCACGCCTCGTAGACATCTGATTACAACAACACAGGTGACCATTTACCGAATGTCTGATATGCACCAGACGCTGAGTTTTCAACAGACCCAATGGTTCTGGTGTCCCTACCATCTTCTTGCAGAGGTGCAGACACCGAGACTGAGAAAGGTTAAAAATTTGATTGAAATCGCACATGTGATTTCCCTTCAGGCGACAGCCATCAAAGACACGTGAATACACATAAATAAACAGGTGATTGTGATACTCGAGGTTTATATTACATGAACGTGCAACACACATTCTTTAATTATAATTCTTTAATGATAAAGGGCGATCGTTTGTTCATTGGATCTGGTCTCCGGGGCACAAACACACCCTTGCTCGCCGGCAGTAAGAGGTGTATTGTGAGCATCCCCCCCCCCCCCCTCTGGGATTCCTGCCGGTTCTCCGGGCTCACGTCTGAAGGCCAGAGTAGCTCCTGCTCCTCTGCGTCTCTGTCCTCTTCCCCTACGCGGGCAGTTTAGCACCTTTTACTGCCTTGCCTCCAGGAAGACGCACTCTCAGCGACTCGCCTTCCCCGTCACTCTGTCACTCTCTTTCTCCAGCTATTTCCCCAGTTACGACAGTTTCATGACCTAACACAGTACATCAGGGTGAATTAGGTTGTGAGGCTGAAAGGCCACTTTTCTCCCACCTTGCAGCACCTTCTTTTTATGGATGTGAAAACTAAGGCACACGAAACTAAATGAACCTGAACAAAGTCACAGGGCCCGGGAGAGTCACAGCCTGGCTATGAATCCAGCTCGAAAGCTCCTGCTGCTTCTACTGTGCAGAAGCATTCAGCGCACCTCTCACACCGACATGACCGTCTCAACATTTCTTTCCGAAGTGCGGCTCCCACAGCCTTCCTGAAACATGGGGACCCAGCGGCAGGTGACTCACCGTAAGTGAAGTACTGTATCTCTGGGGGAAGGGTGACTTCGCTGAGGTCACTCTCCTGGACGTAGCTGTCCACGTACTGCTGTGCTTTTGTGGCCTGGATGAAAGCCAGGAATCTGGCCGTGAAGGCGGCGATGAAGATGGAGAGCATCCCGAAGTCCAGCACGTTCCACAGCTGCAGAATGTATTCCCTCGGCCCTTCCAGCCAGAGCTCCTTGCACTCAGACCACATCATTCCTGTCACAACACACACGGAGGGCACATGTCAGGCTTCACGGCGTGGCCCCAGAAAGTCGTGCATCCCCATTGACACAATGGCCCGTCTGCGAAGCACCAACCCCAGGGCGCCCCAAAGCCCGGACTGTCCAGCTCACCGGGCAGAGTCAACAGAAGAGGAAGCTCCCACTACAGGAACGACTCCCTCCGCCAGTCTGACATTGGGGGAAACAGGCCCCCCGCCACGTGGGCCCAAACGTCCGCCGCTCAGGCAGACGGGGGAGGGCAGGAAGGAGGAGAATGCCACAGAGTCAACAGAGTTTGCCCCATGAGGCTTTTGGGGACCAGACAAATTCACGTTTATGAAATGACACTGGTTCGTTATCAAACCCCAGTGGTCAATGGAGAAACAGTGCCGGAGTGAGCACCTCACTGTGGACTTGTAAGAGTAACTGTCTCCCCCGCCCCCCGGGAGACCTTCCATCACGCCTCTTGCCCTGTACCCTGGGCCCCCACCGTAGGCAGGTGGGTGAGGAAAAGGGGAGGCCCTGCAGTTGGGAGTCGGCGGGTGGGGAGGAATGGGAGGCAGCACACTCTACTCTGGGAGGGAGGGCGCTCCTTGCCTTGACTACAGCAGGAGAAAATACTGTGGGATTTTTCAAAGAAATGTTACAGCTCAACGTAAAATGTATAAAATAACTGCTGGACCCAGACGGAGGCCATGGCCATGCAGGAGGGGGAGGAAGGAGCCCACTCAATCAGGGACTGAGAGGACACCACGGAACTCACTGGGCAAAACAGAGGGCGTATAAAGACGGCTTCGGATTAGCGGTCAACTAGTACGCGGGTCCCGTACCCATTGTTTTCCCACACTGCTCAGTTTCCCCTGTAACACAGCTACACCAAATGGGCTGTCACCAGGGGGAGTGACAGCCATTCTGACAATGGACACTCTCCCCGAAAACCTCACAAACTAAAATAATATAAGCGTTCTTTACTCATCAGTTAATAGCCATTGGGGTTACTTCACGAGAATTTCAATTAACTATGGGATTGTCACAGTGAGTCACATTAAAAATCTTACGTTTTTATTCAATAATTGAAGTTCAATTTCTGAAACATAGTATATTAGTACTAGGTTCGTGTTACTTACAAAATTTTAGCTTTAGTGTTAGGATACCTTTTAGCATTATCAAGCTGACAAATTATTTGATTATTTCACTCTTTCACTAATCTAACCATGGTGATATTGCTGCCATCCAATGTAAAATAACATTTTAAATAGAAAATGACATTGGGCTGGTGGACACACAACTTACTACACAGATGGTGCATTACAGAATTGTATACCTTAAACCCATATTTTATTAGCCAATGGTACCCCAATAAATTCAACTTAAAAAAAAAGAGAGTGAAAATGGCAAATGAGCATTGTTTTGGGTGGCTCTCAGAGGGCTTACCAAGAACCCACACCATGATGAGCATCTCGGTCCACGTGAACTGGGTGGTCTTGACCCTGAAGATCTGTTTGGGGTAGTCGATGACCGTGATGTTGGGCAGCGTTCTGATGCCTTCGAATCGGTCAGAGGCATTGAACACCAGCAGGCCCAGGAAGATGATGAAGGAAGCGGCGTGAGCCACAAACTTCATGAAGGGGCTTCGCAGAACCTTCCCCAGCTGTGATAAGGCAAAAAAAATGTTTTGTTTTCACTTTTGAAAATCCGGCTTCCGCCTACGCAAATCACTACACAGGATTAAAAACAGATGAAATGAGAACACTTTCAAAGCTTTGCTTCTGGTTTTGAAAAGCCATACATTGTGAAAATCACTCCTCTTAAAGGGTGTTTCCCACAAAAATAAGTTACAAAGGTTTCGGCCTTCACTGTTTCTAAACACCCAGCTCGTCCTAGAATGTACTGCATTCACAGACGCGTTTCTGAAAATCACGGGGCCTACGCTGGCTGTTCTTATTTTTACATTGAAAGACTGTGCAATGTCAAGGTTTTTAGGGTTTAGGGATAGAAATTCCAAGTTTGCAGTGTATAATCCTCTACTGCTTTATAATTGAAATGTTACAATAAATTTGTAGACTTGTTCATTTATCCCTGAAATGTTATGCTGTGTCTGCAGCACACTGAAAACCCTTCAAAAATTAAAAAAAAACCCAACCACTATAGAAGTAAATTTTAGTTCTCATTTCTAAATATTCATGCAAGTCATGCTTTGCATGATAGAAGAAAGGCAGAAAATACTATAATCAGGATAAATATTTTGTCTGTTACTATCCCAATTAGAAGAGAGAGGTAGATACACAATGATTAAAACCTCTAAGTAGGTCAATTTAATTGAAAGTCATGCTTGAGTCTGGAAAAGTATATAAATAGTACAAGATCATCTTAAAGTTCATTTTATAGTTATTTTAAGGTAACTTCTTTAAAATCCCATGTGATCTGATGTCCTTAAAAGCCCCATGTTCCAGGAGAAATGAAAACAATTCCTCCTGTCCCCAGGGCTTCTGTGGCCCATGATTTAGGCACATTTGGTAGATTTATCAGGGAAGTGCTCCATTCCACACGCTCAAACCCCACTTTTAAACTCCGTCTGTGCCCTTAACAAGTACCACAGTCCACACTCAAAAGACTGCAAGTTCAAACAAGTGTTTTTGTACGTCCACAACCTTGACTTGATGTTAACAAACAGCCACGAGCTGTCAAGCTCTCCTGGGATGGGCCATAAATGCACACAGATGAACGTCACATTTTCTACCGGAAAACAAACAATGCTTTCACATGTCACCGTGCTGTTCCGCAGCTGTACACTGTGTGTGTGGGGGGGGGGCGGGGGGGACCACATTCGTAGCACTGAGTGATTTCTTGGGACTTGCCAAGTCTCTAAAAGGTTGGTCTTTTAAAACTTTAAGTAACATGAAAAGAAAGCAGCATGCCTATCGTAAAAATGGGGCACGTGCAGAGAATTCTGGCTACATGGTCTTTTCCCCACAGGGCAGAGGGCCTGTGGCAGGTGTGAACGGGGGTAGAAACGGCTCAGGTCCCTCCTTTTGCTCCTCTGCTGGGCCGAGTCCCCAGGCCAGAAGCTGTGCTTCTCTGGGTGGAGAGAAACAGGCCAGCGGACTGAAGATGCCCTCACCGGACCTGATGTCACGTGTCCACTGGCTGAGCTGCCCGGAGAGACCAACACTTGAAAACTGGACCCCAACACCTCTTCCCCAGAAAGGGGAATTATTGGCATGAGGTGTGATTTTTGCGTTTAAGGTATGCTCTCTCACGTTATTTCTAGTTTTTAGTCTTTAGTCTTTTAGCATTTGAGGAGTTGTAACATACTTTTCCATAATATACGACAAAAGCCAGAGAGATGCTGGACTTCCAGGGCTGTACCAGAGCCCTGACTCATTTTGCCTGAAACTACCTCTGACCTAAACAAAACCAGATTTCCAAATATAAAAACAGGATTAACGGATCTCAGAACAGCCTCTTGTCCCTGGCAGTGCCCCCTGGGAACCTATGCGGAGTCTGTGAGCATGCCCAGTTCTGTGAGCGTGCCCAGTGTCCTGTGAGCATGCCCAGTTCTGTGAGCGTGCCCAGTGTCCCTCTCCCCATCGTGGTCAGCAGTCCTCCAAGGCGCAACGAGACTGACTTTCCACAGGCAAGTGGAGAGAGGGAGAAAGGTCGTGAACAAAACGAGTCAAGCAAAACTAAACAAACCATCTAAAGATGCCAAAGCCCCCAGGCCCAAAGTCTACATTTGTTCTTCTGAAGAAGAACAAAGAGCTTGGGGCACGTGACCTGCACTTTCTTGGACTCTGGGAAACACCACGCCTGCAGCTGGGCTTCGCACACCAGCCACGGATGGCGTGGACAGGTCCCAACGAGCACCCTGGGCAGACGGGCTGATGTGTCTTAGAGCCCTTGCAGTGGGGCCTTCCCGCGTCCCCCCCCAGGCTGGGCCGGGCCATTGGCTCTCCGTTTATCAAGCTGTCAACAGAACCAGAGCACCTGCTCCTTCACTCTGGCAGCTCTTCGTACTGCCCACCATGGGGATTTTTATCTTAAAAGCCTAAGCATTATGTGCCTGCAAAGGCCATCTATCCCACTGGCACCGAATGCCTTCTCACCCCTTTTTTTAATGGATCCGGTCATTACAAAGCAGCATCTGCATGCTGGAGTCAATTAACTTTCAGGATGGAACTGCTAAGAGCCTGGAGTAGGCAGCTTTGTTCTTTTTCATCCCAAAAGGACATAGTAACACAGAGTGTAAGAAAGCTGTACCCGGCTGCAAGGCGCAATCCAGTAGCCGATGGCGAGGAACGGAAGGCCCAAGGCCACCACTAGCACAACCAGACACTTGACGGCTGTGGTCTGCTCCCGCAGCCCTGAGAGGTTCTCGTACCAGATGGTCAGGAGCTGCTGCTGGCAGTTGGGGTGAGCCACAAACTGGGGGGAGAGAGAAGGAGGAGAGTTACTATGCCATCAGCCACAGTTCGACTGCTGAATGTTAAGATTAACCTCCTAAAGATATTAATGCGCATGCTCCCAGGACATGGGTGCTGGAAGGTTCTGGTCCTATCCTCCATCGCCTTCCCTCCATCTTCCCACACTGCTCCAGGACTCATAGAAGGACAAAAGTGGAAACAAGAGGGCGAAACTGATGTTGTCCTGAACCAGCTCTTTCTACCTGAAGCTCTCAGTAATTCAGGCTTTCTGGAATCTGGGGACAGAGTCCCTCCTTTATGGACACGTCACATCCTGGCTTTCAGTTCCCAGGAAAGAGGAAAGAGTCATTTGGTTTATTGTAGACTACGGTGAAAAGGGAAATGTGTTAAGTTCTTGAGCGAGCCCTAAAGCACTGTGGGAAAATACATACAGGATGGGGCTGGTGTGTACAAATGTACAATTGCTGCAAACCTGCACGAGAGTCGCAATAAGTCAGTGAGCCCGCTGGCTCTGTGCTCAGTCCACACTGCAGGGCTCTAGGAGCTGGCATCCAATGTCGCTTCCTTCCTGTTGAGTAATCTGCGCTCTTTTTATTGCTTCCTCGGCCACAGGTCAGAAAAAAGCCACATTTACCTGCAGTAGTGATTTCACAACTACAGTTCTAATCAGGGAAAATGAACAATGTAGACTTCCTTCGTCCCCACCATCGTGTTTGATTTTGCCATCTGGTTTTGTTAACCCATCTGCCTGAATCTATTGAGAAGAACTGGGACTTCTATAAGGCCCTGTCCTTGTTCAGGGAGCAGACTGTACACGTCACCCGGCCCACGTAAAGGTCCCGACGCCAAAAGGTGCCCCCTTGCAGCTGGATCTGCCTGTCTCTGAATAGTCAGGTGCAGTTTGCCCAAGCTCGGGAATTATTCAGGGTCATTCACACATCAACAGGAAGTGCCAACAGAGTTTCAGAAAAAGAGTTTAGCAATGCAAACATCAAAGCATCGCTGTCTTCCAACAAGCAGGATAAACGGCAACAGCAAACCCATTAGGAAGCACCCTGAGAGGTGTCTGCAAACTCGGGGAGGCAGAGGGAGCAGCGGCAGTGCCCAGCGGACACGGGGCTCATCTACAACCAAGCCCTGGTTCCTGAACCGACCGACCCTCATGATTCGTAGCGACTCCAGACACTTCTGCACACTGTCAGGCTCCGTACCAAGAGCACAGCTCCAGGGTGGCAGAGAGGTTCCCGTTTACTGGTGTAGAGTTTTCCATCGGCACTTTCAACTAAAACAGCGCTAATAAAAAATAAAACCTCAGCCCCCAGGGCAGGCAGTGGATGCACAGCTTTCCCCAGACCCCGCTCCCACTCCCACGGTGACCCCACTGGTGGCAGGAGGAGAGGTCGATGACAGGTGTGGTTGAGGTTGAGTCTACAGATACCAGATTTGAAATACCTGACTGCATTTTTTTTTCAATAATACAAACTGGTAGGGTTTGGGAGAGTTAAAAGTACTAAAAGGAAGATACTATGTTTTCTGGCTTGATGAGCTCCATATGAAAAAGAATATCGGATCTTATAAATTACTTTCAACTCAATTATAAAACTCCTAGGTCCTGGGGGTCACTGGTCATTGCCAGCCATGAAATTATATGAGACCTTCTTTCCAAACTCAAGATTCTGCCACTGTCCCAAAGTTCTGGTTTGGGGAAACTCTATTTCAAGGTCAATGGGGTCATTATTTGCACTCATGGTACGTGTGGATATAATCAAGGTTGAAGCCTTCCAGGGTCTCTGCGACCATTTCCTGGGATTTCCAAAACTGCATATTCCTGCGGCTGCCCCTGTGGCTACTGGATCATTTCCTTCCTGCTCACCCCTCCTCCTCCCTCATCCCCTCCACGTCCCTAACTGTTTGTCTCATTCACTCAACACACTCTCTCATCCTCCAAGTCGGCATAAGCCCCTGCGAGGAGCCTAGCTAGGCCCCAGGTACAGGAAGATGAGAATGAGGCATCAGCACCCTGTTGAGTGATGAGTGGTCCCCAGTCACAGGCACACAGGACACTATCAATACACGTGAAAAACAGCCATTAGAATGGAGGCCTGCACCCCTATGCTTGCCAAGATAAATGATCAGCATTTAACATACTCCTAATTTGAATGTTGGTCCAAATGTCTTGGTGTCTGACATGTTTCCAGGGTCTGCATTTGTGGGAAGTTGGGTGGATGCAAAGACAAGGCGGGCCCGTGACAGTAGCCAGGCTTGGCTTGTATGGGGAGAGGTGCATCCTGGGAAATCCAACCACAGGATGTGATGTCACCAAATCAGACCACTGCTTGGGAAGTCAACCTGCATGTTGTATAGGCCAAGGGTTTGAGCAGGACAGAAAATGCCCACAAAGTTAACAGGCAGGTGGGCGTGACTGTATGGAACTGGCAGGCAGATTTCCCTCTTGGGAGTGTCCAGCCTTTCTTTCGCAGGTTTTAGGCTTTCGGGGACAGAAATATTCATGTTGTAGTTTGGCTGCTCCCTCACCTCAGTCCTCCTCCTCAAGCCAGTCTTTAAATTTGCTGATGTGCTGTATGGCATTAATTATACCAAATAAGGCCACTGGAAGACCGGATGGAAATGGATCCTTTCCGCACAGCACACAGGTGACGCACAGAGGATTGTACACGCAGTGCAGACACTTTGTCTGTGTTACACAGCAGCCCAATCATGTTCACGCTTTTCTTGTCATCCTTTACCCTTCTGCTTAACAGGCATGTTTGCTATCCTCCTAATTTTGCCCTCCCCACTGTATGGTGTCCGTTATCTCATACATCACTTTCTGTGACTTCTTTTAATCCACAGAAAGAAAACACAAATGGCTGTTTTCCTCCAATGATTTTAAACCCTAACAAGGCACACAGGGAACATTTGAAAAGGAAAATAAAACTAATGCAATAGCAGTGGCTGAGGGCAGACAAGCTAATCCCTCTCAGAGAAGAGTTTTGCTCCTTTCAATGACTTCACAACAGGGAAGCGACCTCACCCCCCCACCCTCGACTGCATCATCCCCTGAAAGCCCCCGTAATGCTGCAGCGCCAGCCCCAGCCAGCCTCAGGAAATCTGCCTGCGGCGTCCTGACCCCGGCGGCCAGCACACTGAGATCATCCCAAAAATGAAACCCTTATTCGAGGCTTTCTGATTTGAAGGCAGAATGACTGACACACAAGAACATCTCAGTCTCTCCACAAACAGCACTACGGTGGCACTGAGTTTTTTCCTGCTAAAGATGACCGACAGATTCTTATACACTGAGCCACCATTTAGGGCAGGGATGGAAAACAACTTGTAGATAATTTTCAACTTAAAAAAAAGAATTCACGTTACACTGTCTTTTCATCAGATCAGCCTTTACCAGAGCTGCCCATGTGGGTGTCCTCGGGACAGAAGCAGGGAAGGAGCGCTCTGCTTGGTTTGTGACTTCGTTGCTGGAGCCCTGGTTCACACACTTTAAAAGAAAATACTCTCGTGGGTAGAACCTAGATCATGACATTCTTTTTAACGTCCTTGACTCGTGGCACATGAACAGAGAACTTACATGGCAGTTTTCTGGATTCTGAACCGGCCAGGTGTAAAATGCTCTGCTACCTCTTGGAGTCGGGCACACACCCGGCCCCGGGGCTGCCTGGGGTCAGGGTCAGGTCGGGGCTGCACTGGCACACGCACCCGAAACCTCTGCGGGGCACGCAGCCCTCATGCTCCCGCTGCCTGGCTCCACTTCTGAGCTTTCTTGCACACACAGGGGTAATCGTGTGTGTTTAAACTGCAGCCTGTCTCCCCTCCAGATGATCGTTCTGCAGCTACACTTACCCCTGTCGTGGAGAGAACAGGAGAGCAGGAGGAAGCACTCCTTAAATCCTTGCTCAGATCCCTCCCACGCAGTGTTTATATTTTCATTTCTGCATGAATTGCCACTGAGTCTCTCAGGCCCCGGGGAGCCCCAGGTGCGGTTTTTAGGGAAGACCCCAGCCCGGGAGCCTGGAGCCAGCGAGAGGTCAGCAGACTCAGGCCCGGACCCAGGCCTGGGGCGGATTTGGGCAGTGGCCAGAGCAGCTGCCTGAGTCTCTTCGGGGACCTACCAGGCCACCATGACATCACACTGGGCTCCTTGGTGAAATTAGGAGTTGATCTGAATAAACATGAGCTTGCTTTGTTATTGGGGGGAAAGTTCTGTACCCTAACGTTATTTTGAAATGCCTTTCCCACGGCCATTGACTGCTCCAGCACCACAGCTGGCGGAGGGGGGTCATGCGGCCTTGTGACCCAGGAAGAGATTTTTCTTGGGGACTACAAAGGAGGTGGTGGGAAGGAGGGTGGAAGGATGGGTGTCGTATTTTCCCTCTTTGCTGGAGTGGAAATGGGTGAGTGCTGAATGAACGATAAAGGTAGCCTTTAAGAGAAAAAAGGGCTTTTTTTTTTTTTTTTTGACTTGGGGCTTTTGGGGCAATTCCAGAATAGAGTTCTCATACACGCTGATCAAATGAATATTCCAAGTTAAAACTTTTACTGCTATTCACTGGGTAGCACAAAACAAACTACCCAGAATCACCTGCAAAGTCTTCAACCTCCTTTCAGTTCCCAATTTATTCTTTTTGTTGTTGTGTCCTGAGAGCTGACTGGCAGCAAGGTGATTATTGCTGACGCCTCATACATTATCATTTATACATCGATTTACTTAAAGTGGACGTGCAGGGGGACACGCGCTCCGTGAGACGGCCTGGTTAACACACGCACACCTGCAGTTGAGCTGTCACTGTTAATGTGACGCTTCCAAAGCCAGGAGCGAGAACCTGTGACAACGGAAATCAATCCTCCTCTTTCAGGAGCACGCGAGAAGAGATGTGAATGGCAAGACCTGTGAATAAACATCCAGACGGATTTCTAAAAGTGCTTCAACATCAATCTTACTCAACATTCTCTTCTTTTCCCTGAGAGGACAAAACCTCTGCCAGCCCCGCCATTATCTTGTAACTGACAGGCCTTTCACAGCTGAGGACCTTCCCCGTTCTCCAGCCTGTTAACTGCATTGTAACCAGCGGTGTACAGATGTCTTTGTCATATCTTAATCCATTGAAATCCCACCACTACTCTGAGGTAGATAAGAAATATTTTATCCTCCTTGTATGGGAAACACTGAAATTTAAATATGTCTTATAATTTATCCAAGGTTTCACAACCAACAACAAATGGGAAGGATCAGAAGCTCGATATTTGACTCCCAACATTTCCATACTTCCCTTCATCTCTCTCATAAAGAAAAATCTCTCATTATTTTCTAATAATGTCTATTCTCATTATGGAAGAGAAAACGTCCTAGAATTATGGCATGGTGGGTATTCCGCGCCTCTTCCACGCTGGCGCAGGAAGGAAGAGGGCCGCTCACCTTTTTGACTTCATACTTAATGGCCAGTTTGACACGACTCAGGGAGGCCTTGTGTCTGTGCGCCTCCGCGGGCTCCACCGACTCCAGGTCTCCGTTCAGAATGGCTTCCACCTCTTCCGAGTCTCGGCACAAATCCAGCACACCCACCACGAAGTCTTTGCATTGCATGGACAACTTCCGATAGTCATTCTACGAATGAGAGGTTTGGAGTTTAATACAAAGAATTGGCTTTAATCCCATGGGAAGTGTTGAGGTTTTTCTGTGCATTAGAGCAAGGTGTCCCGTCCTCCGGTTGGGGAGCTGCGGTCCCTATGTGGATGCTAGGCTTGCTGAGTTAGACGTGGCTGGATCTGACCCCCCACCCCCTGAGCCAGGACCTTCTGCAAGCTGCCCACCATACGAGACAGCTCCCAAACCACTGTGCACTTAGGTCACTGGTCTGTATGTAGTGAGTGGTGTTGGCTAAACGCTACCACTGAAAGACTAAAGGATCCAAAAGAGTTGTAGCTCTTTTGTGCAGATAAACAACAGTTTTCTTTAAAGCCCACACAAAGCCATTTTGTATAGTGAAAAAATTGTTATCGGTTATTTTATTTAAATTGTATTAAAAAACTACAGTTGTTGTACAATGAAAACATTTTAAATGGTGATTTTTCTAAAGCGGCGATTTGACGTAGAAGATTGGCCGCAGGGGAGACTAACATGACTGGTTCCTGAGCCCCTGCCCCGATGGACACTTTGCTTCTCACCGTGCAGCCCACACACCTGCGGTGTCTGCAGCACCTGGCCACGCGTCAGAACAGCCATTCTCAGACCCCAGTCCCGACGTCTGGGAATGACTGGTGTGCGAGAGATGTAAAGAGATGGGCAGGTGCCAGCATAGAGAGCAGGTTATTTTTCCTTCTTTGTCTACAGGGCACACATTCATGTCCTGCAGAACCTGAAGGAAGAAAAGTGTCTGACTATACGTCACTGCATTGGCAAGGGCTGCTGAGTATCGACACTTGAGAGAAAAGGTCCAGGCCACTGGAACTGACACCTGCTAAAAATCACCTGTTCATCTTTCACATCTTTAGCAAATGCATGTAGTGCATGGGCCGGTATGGAGAGGCCACTCTGCAGCCTCCCTGTCACCTCCCGGATGGAGCTCCAGTTCTCCCTTAGGTTCCTGTCACCGTGTCAACAACTGTCCCTGGGCAAGGGTCTTCCTTTCAGAAACCCCAGTTCCATTTCTATGGCTTTCACTAAAATTCCAGCCCATTAAGAAGGTTAACTGGATGGTGACCTAATCTGGTGCACTCAGGGAAAACAGAATTCCTCCTTTCCACATGTCCTGAGACACGGTATTTTTCTGATAACCAACCAAATAACACTGCACAGCAGAATTTCCAGATTCTGGGCATCTAAAAACTACATTTTAAATGATACTTTTTAAAAAGGCATGAAGAATTCCAATTTTGGCCCTTGAATAATTAATCTATGCAATGTGATGGGCAAAAATCACATCACCTGCTAAAATAAACACAAAGAGAGACACTGTTTAAAGGCTACACAGACTAGAATAGTTTCCATTTCAGATATCAGACATTCAGATAAAGAACAGTTACAGTTAATCCTTTTCCCCTTATAAGGGAACAGATAAAATGAATAAAAACTTCTGTCTGCTTTCCATTCAAGTTGGGACCAGGCAACTGATAAAATTAATAAAATGCTCAGCCTCTGGTTTCTATGCAGAGTGTCAGTTACATATCCATCTGCCTGCCATGCCTGAAAGCCTGATGAAATATTTTATTAGAGCGTCCAGAAGTATTAAATCCACGTCTGTCTCTATAGAAAGCTCCCCTTTTAATACAATTTTTTAGATGAAATTTCCTTGCATTACTCTTCAGCTTGCACTGCTCTGTAAGATTTGGTACAACCTAGGATGGCCGCGGCACCATTGAGCAGAGAGAAAAGAGACTATTTTCTATGCCTGAAGAACACATAGGAACCACTTCTGCAGTAATACCCAAATAATGACTCATTATCTTTAAAAAGCATACTCTGTACACTGTTCAGTCTTGAAGAAAGCTGGACAATGGGGTTGGTTTGGTTTTTTTCACATCCACTGAAAGATCAGTGATACAAGTTGCAAGGACAGCACTTTGTTTTCCTAACAATTTAAACATTTCCTGCTGGAAGGAGTCTGCTACCCTGTGTAGATAATGATCAGAACTGGAGATAACAGGCATTTCTTTTATTGCGGTCGTGTGATAGCAAGTCGTCAACATGCACAGAGCTCCCGGGCAAACGGGAGCAGACAGCCCTTCCCCAGGGGCAAAAGGGACCCCCTGCAGTCTGCTGACCAGCTAGTTCTGCCAGGGGGTGCTGCCTCACAACTCAGACCACTTGTCTGCTCTGCGTTTTCTGGTAATTGTCTCCTAATTTGCTTTTGCTCCATTGTCCTCACTCATCATCACATGGGCCATCTCAAAGTTATCGGACGGCCCGGCTGCGCATTTTGGAGTGGAAGCCGAAGCCCAAGCCCCCGCACAAGGCAGGGGGGAGCAACGGCGCTCTGTCCTCACGGCAGCCTGTCTGGGGCCTTCAGCACACACATATCAACGATATTCCTCATTGTTGTCATTCCTTTTTGTCCTCTCTTTAACCCCTTTTTATCCTGAAGGGGGAAATGGAAATGCAACTCGAAGCAGGCTGGGTCCTGACGAAACTTTCCCTAATAACAAAGACAGTGTAGTGGTTGCAGCATCAATCGGAAGCCAGGGGTTCTGGGATCAAATGCTGCACCTACCACTTACTAGCTGTGTGGTCTTGTGAAAGTTACTCAGCTTCTCTGTTGAGGATAAGCCTACCTAATACTGCTACTGGATTAAATGCTTAGAACGTGCTTAGCACACATCAAGTACTATAGTAGGGCTTCAGTATTACCAGGTATGGCAGGTGAGATGGAATATTTAGGACTGGGACCCAAGACTCCCAAACCTAGGCCTGCCAGATGGGACCTAGGGGATAGCCTCTGGCTTTGCATTTGTAAAATGAGAGGTCTGGTTAGCCCAATGACTCCTAGACTGTCATCCTGCCATAAAATGCTACCTTGCTTTAGGGTTATAATCATTTTTCTCTTCCTTACAGCCCTACCATGATAATAGTTGAAATTGCTTTTCTACTTTAAAGAGAGGAAAACTGTGGCACAGGAAAGGCAAATAGTTTTTTTTTCTTCCTTTCCTTTTTATTTTTTTTGCAAACAAATGCATCCCTGGTTCAGAATTAGGAAATTTCACTTTGCACTTTCACGGCCTACTAAGTGGCCGGCTTGCTTGCCTCTGACGGGTGGAGGCCTGGGCCCCAGCCCATCCCGCCCAGTGCTCCGTCTCTCTGAACAGCTGCAGGCCACGTCCGCCGGTCTCTAATGACCTGTCACCATGCTGTCCTCCACCGATTCATCTAAATCTATCTGAGAACGTTCAGCCTCTTGGGGTAATGACTTCCACGTATTTTCTGCAGCAGGGCTCCTGTATTCTTCCAGGAATTCTGGAAACGACACGGCAACCGGAATGTCCCCCGAAGCCCCTGCCTGAGCAGCGTGAGGGGTGAGGCGCTGGCTCCGACAGGCCATGACATGGGGGGGTGGGGACAGAGGGAGAGCTGTTGGAAAAGGGGACAATCACCTGCTTTTCACTGGGGAACACACTGTCTACGATTTCATTTCAGAGCTGGGACTTCGAGCTCCCAGTCCCTGTGGAAGGAACACAGAGGACACCACAAAACAGGGCAGAGGAGGTCAGCTGCTCGTCTCCGCCACCAGTGTCTGCGTCCACGGCCCCTCGGAGCGGGGAGTCCAGGGTCACAGCTGTGGGAGCCACTCTCTCCGTCTGTCTAAAGCCCTGACACATGACATGTATGTGGAACAAGAGGGCCGGGAGGGGAGGGGAGGGCAGGGAGAAAGGCACTAACAGGACGGTGCGAGTGGGGAGGAAAGGGACATTCAGCCCAGGGAGGGCCCGTGGGCCCTGGGGATCACGACTTCAGAAGAGCTGACTCTGCTTTGACTCAGAGAAGGTTCTGCTACCCAAGTGCTTCCTATATAATTCAGATACACGGTGAGATCAGATGACTTTCGGGGATCCTGGGACTTCTGGTGGCTTTTGTGCATGCCTTCTCAAACTTGATTGTGTTTTCTCCTTCTTTTTTTTTTTTGCCTCTTTACTTGTGATATTCTTCTACCTTTGAAAGGTTATCAGAGGTGATTCTTTCAGTTGGGGTAAAGGAGATTCTAAGTATTATCAATATAGACTTAGCCGACTTCTGAGGAACACTTGAATGACAGAATTTTTAACCCTGGCTTCACTGAGATGACTTCTCTGAGCAGAACTGCATACTTTACCACCTTTCATAAATATCAAAATGTAGTCTGAGAAAATATCCCCTTTTGTAGAATCTCTTTTATACGCTTTTCAATATATATCAGGCAAAATGTATAAAAAGTTTAGAATAATATTTTAAAGTCACAAATAAATTTACAGTTATATTTTTATTCCTATGCCAATATAAAGAGGTAACATTTTGAACTACGTTACCTGAATGTTTTCCTATTCTCTCTAAACAGGATTTGAGGTTTTGATTTGTTCTGAGTTATGGGTCCAAGGAAATAAGTCTTTCAAATATCATGTACTGAATCTCTTCAAAGGGAGTAGATATAAGGCAACATTTATTCTATTCTTTGTATTTTTCCACATTTTCCAAAATGTTCATAGTAAATATAAAAATTTTGTGGCTTTTATATAAGAAAAAATTTAATGTAATAACAAATGAGATTATCCTGCAGCCAGGGCTCCTCTTGGACAAGATGAAGGATGATAAATATCTAGGGATTTGGTGTGTATGGAGGAGAGAAAAAACCCACAAAACTTCCCTCCCATTTTCTCGCAGCCCCCTGGCCTGACTTGTGTTGCTTGTTGCATTTGTGTAAATCTCACATAAGCATGAAAAACTGCAGTAAGATCTGAAGACAATAATCAATCACTCTGCCTGGTGTCTGTCATCGGAACACGGAACTAAGAAGAAGGGAAACGTAGCATCCAGAGAATGAGTCAGGGAACTGATGTCGGCAGCCCCCCTCTGAGGTGGACAGCGGGAGACAAGATCCTGGGGCAACCAGCCTGACCACCTGTGCCCACAGCTTGCGCCGGCTCCTCTGCCCCAGAGTTAATGGTGGAACCACCCAAAGGGCAGAGAAGGATGTAGCAACCGAATTCTTAAAACGGCCCACACTAATGTGTAATGTTTTCAGAAATATGAAATGTTAAAGGGATTTATCTAAGAACAAGAAGATAAAAACATGTACAGTAAAATGACAGCAAACTCACAACGATTAACAATCACACCTAAAACAAAACAAAAGCAAACAAGTAGAACAGGAACAGAACCACAGAAATGGAGATCACATGGAAGGTTATCAGCAGGGGAATGAGGGGGGAGAGAGGGGGGAAGGTACAGAGAATAAGTAGCATAGATGGTAGGTAGAAAATAGACAACAGGAGGGTAAGAACGGTATGGGAAATGGAGAAGCCAAAGAACTTTTATGTACGACCCATGGACATGAACTAAAGGAGGGGAGTGTGGGTGGGAGGGGTGTGCAGGGTGGAGGGGAGTGAAGGGGGGAAAATGGGACAACTGTAATAGCATAATCAATAAAAAATATTTTTTTAAAAAGAAATAAATAATACTGGTTGCTTGGAGATGATGTCCAGGAAAAAAGTTCACTCATTTTTTAAAAGTCCACTAATGCAAAACACCCCTCTGTCCTTGTTTTTCTGGGCAGACCGATGTCTATGGGGCTATATCGGCCAGGCTGAACAGGAGACCGTGGATTTCTGGGAGAGGCACTTTCATCATAGTCATGAAAGGGCCTTGGTAGCACTTCCATCTGTCTTTTGACTTTCACTCTAAAGGGGATAGATGAGTGTTTGGGCCGATGAGCCGCGAACTAGTAACTACTCGCAAGTTGGGTCCCACCAGACAACTAATGACAAAAAAGGAGGAAGAATTTGGAAGGGAGACGGTCACACCCAGTATCTCCTTTAGACAAAAGAGAAGTCTCTGCGTTCTGCTCAGAGCTTATCGAGAACACAGAGCAGCCCCGGAATTATCGCTCTTGGATCCAGCATGCCCCATGCCAAAAGCGCATTTTCCACAGCACCACGCTCAGCAGGGAAAATCCTGGCGTCCCTTCTGAAGGACTCTTCCAATCCCGGCCACCTAAAATCCCCTGGGGGGGCCACTGGTTGGGGAGCAGAGCAGAGCAGGGCGGGCGCCCGGCCTACCTTGAACTCCTTCTCGATGTTGGCCAGCTTGGCCAGTTCGTTGCTGAGCTCCAGGGCGGTGAGCACGGGGTCCTCGCTGGACAGGGACAGGTAGGCCGGGCTGGCCAGGCCCCTGTAGGCGTTGATCCTGGAGCGCGAGTGGCTGAAGGAGTCGTGCCGCTGCTTCTCCGTGCAGTCCGCGCACTTGCAGAAGTAGTCGTGCGGCCGCTCGATGCGCGCGCCACGCAGCAGCAGCATGTGCACCACCTCGTACTTCTGGCAGTGCGCCGCCAGGATGATGGGCGTGATGTCTGGCGAGAAGCGCGTGCCGTCCTCGTCGTAGGCGTAGAAGTCGTCGTCCTGCAGCTCCTGCTCGCAGGGGCTGAGCGTCAGGCGCCCGCTGGCCGCGAAGCCCGGGTGGTTGAGGATGGCCTCCACGATGCGCACGTAGCCCTTGCTGATGGCCAGCAGCAGCGCGTCCCCGATGCGCGCCAGGTTCTCCTTCTTGAGCAGCAGCTCCGTCACCTCCAGGTGCTCGTTGCCCACCGCCAGCTGCAGCGCGTTCTGGCCCATGTAGTCCACGCAGTTGACATTGAGCGTCTGCGACTCCTCCAGCATCTTGCGCACCACGGGGATGTTGCCGTACTCGGCCGCGTCCAGGAAGCGCTCCTCCTCGGCCGTGAGGCTGGGGCCGCGGTCGTTGAACATGAAGGCCGGGCCGCGCACGGCCTGGCGCCGGCCCTTCTCCCGCATCACCGTCTTGCGCCTCAGGGATGGGCTTCCGTCCATGGACCTGGCGGGCAGCAACGCAAAGAGCAGCTGCAGGCGATTAGGGGGAATGGCTGCTGCCCGCGGGCGGCTGACCTGGCTGGAGGCCGCAGCGCCCCGTGGGCGGCTAACAGCGCCCCTCGCGCGCACCCCTAGCCGGGGCCGCCTGAACCCGAACCCTGGGAGCCGTTCAGACCCGACCTCGGGTCCGCAATAAAAGGCTTTCCAGAGGAACAGGACCAGAGACCGTTCGTTTCCAGACACCGGCGCTTGCCTGTGACCCTCACTCTAGATAAGTTTGCTTCCTTTAATTTAACAATATAAACTATGTCGCCGTGGCCTTTTAAATTTTTTTTCTTGGCCCACGGTATCCAGGAACTTAGTGTAGAGCTTAAACTGCCCATTACCTTCCCAGTCCTATTCCCGACTGCTGACAGTCTTTTCTTTCCTAAATGATCTCTCACATGGACTTTTAAACATTTAATGTTTTGATATTTTTCCATCACCATTTGGTCCCCTTAGACCCCCCTCCCCCCAGCAGTCACCACACTGTTGTCCACGTCCATGAGTCCTTTTTTCTCATATAGACTTTAAATCAATCACCCTATCTATATTCCATGTGTTTTAGACCTGTTTTATGGTTATCTAAATTCTTTTTTAAAAATAGAGTGTTCATACAGTAAATGCTTCCTCATAGAAGCAGCCACTGCCAGTCTCTGCAGCGTAAGGTCATGCTTCATCTGTCATCAGCCTGTGTCCCCCGGGGGCACATACTCAACAAGTGTCTGTCCCATTGAGTTCCCCAGTCTCTTCCCCCGCCCTGTCTTCTCACTTGACCTCAGGTCCCACAGATGCAATCCCTTCTCCCTGAGGCCAGTGCCCAGTGTCTCAGGCTGCTCATCCAGGTTCAGCAACTCCAAGGTCATCTGCAACTCACTGTCTGGACCCTGTCAGTCACTGCACTCAGATCTTCTCGTCTAGGACCCTCCCTCCAGGCCTCACCACCCGCGTCACCTTCCAAGGTCACGGCTGGATCGTCATAGCCACTGTCCGCAGAGACCGAGTGAGGGAAGGCAAGCACCCTTGACCGAGGACCTGAGGTGCACGTATGTCTCACACACTGTCGTGTGGGACTCTCCTACAATGCTCTGATGCAGGAATTATTTCCTATTTCCTACATAATAGAACCGAGCTTACAAGAGGGTGCCCCAGGTAAGACACAGCCTGGGGTTCTGCCGGGTCTGACTCCGACTCCTCCGTGGGCCCCACAGTCATCATCCCCCCACCTCGCTCCTCTTCAACTCTGCTCCCACCCTCACTTGTGTCTTAAAAGCACAAAAAAAATACTGGGACCCCTGGTGGACTTTCAGAGGCCCCGCCAGCCTTCTTCCCCTGCCATTTGCTGCCTGTGAACACATCACTCAGCTCACTTCTGTGCCATCAAGGGCATGCCTGGATGAGAAGGGTGTTTTTTGAAAAACGAGTAAAGCACTGCTCTCCGTGTCTTTCCAAGTATAAGGTCTTTGCCCTGGCTGACTCAGGACCCCTGCCCGGGAGTGCGGGGTGTCCCATAGAGTTGGGTGAGTGGGTGTGTCCAGGAGCGGTGCAGAAGACAGATTTTAGAGGGCAAGCGCAAAGAGCAAGATCAAGATCATTTGCAGCTCTTTGCAGGAAAAAATGAGATTTTGCAAACAGAATTTGGGAAGAGGGAAATGGTCTTGAGGAAGGATTTGCCCCATTCCTTTTTTCTCTAACTGGCTCTGAAGGAGCCTGGTCCCGTGGTGCCCTTGTCACAGAAGACGAGACCCCTCCCCCACGGCAGCTGCACCGCCGGTGCTGTGGCAGGAGGACAAGACCAAGCAAGAGGGAGGGGAGAAGTCAGCACATGGGTCCGATGGGCTGAGGAGCCACCGAAGGCGGCGGTCTTGCCCTGCACGTTTCATTTGCACGTCTGGGCCGGCCCAGTCTGGCCAAGTAACAGAACAGTGGGGGCTCTCGGGCCACCGGCAGCTCCACACAGTGTGGACCCTTCCAGTGACAGCCAGGGAGCCCACACCAAGACTAGGACGGCCGCCGCGCTCTGAGCGGGACACAGGCTACATGCTGCGGGGGTCCCGCTCCGCTGCCCGTGGGAGCCCAGCCGGGTTCTAACAAAGGCAGGTCGGCCCAGGTCAAGTCACTTCCGCTAACAGACAGCACCCGAGTAGACAGCAAACATCGCCCAGAGACCGGAAGAGCCAGAGGACACCACGTACACACTTCCCTCTCCAGGGGACACAGAGGACCCCCTCCCCCAAGCCCAGATGCTACAGAGGAGAACACGGGGAAGGCCAGCTTTCCGCGAGTCTGAGTGATTCCATCTAAGAGAGAGAATTTCTTGAAAAAGAAAATGTGCTTTATACTGTCCACCCGAGGTCAGTGAAATCGGCCTTGTAGCAACTCTCTGGAGTGCCCCGAACCAGGGCGGACACGTGGACCATAAACAGACTCCGACCTCTTTTGGGGACGGAGGGGTGGGGGTGGCAATCAGCCAGCACAGGCCCCTTAGACACAGGCTAAAGGCACAGACTCATTGCCCTAGCTGGCCAGGCTGGGGAATGCAGGGCCAGCCTTTTGCTTATTTTATCGATTGCTTAATTCATTTGTTGAATGAGAGTAAGTGTCTTTTGAGCAAGCAAAACACGAAACAAAATTTTACAAACTAACTTGAACCACGGATTGGACCTTGGTTCAGTTTTGTCTCTCCCGGTCAGCAGGCGGGGGGCTCGGGAGGAAGGCCTGTTGTTGCAGGTGAGTTAGAAGAGCACCGCGTGGCTGCTCCTGCAAGTTGTCTGCTTTCTCGACCTGCTCCACCTGCCTTTTGTTCCCACCTGGGGGCGTGCTTTTGCTTCCGCCCTTCTCCGGCTGAAACCCTACCTTCCACCGTCCAGCCTGCCTTACAGGTCCATCAGCTAGGGGTAAGGTTTCACAGGTAACCACTAGAACACCTGCAAGATTCTGCTCATTCTGCAGCACTGAGCCCTTCTGACCCTTGCTGGAACCCCTCCTGGCCACTCCAGCCCACACTTTGTAACACCGCTGGTCTGCCCTGAATCTGTGCACTTAACTTTATTTCATCTCCTTGTTTATTGTCTCCTTGGATACTCATGTCCCCTAAGGTCAACTGAAGATAAATGCTTCATGCTTCCTACTTTGTTTCATACTTCGGTCACCTCGACAGAGCCTGACACCATGCAGCAGATGTTCAAAAATGCTGTGAACTGACCCCAGCTCCCCGGATGCAGAGACTTGGTAGAACAGTAACTGCTTCAAGGTCGCTGAAGGGCAGAGAGCCGGAGACAGGACTCTGAGGTTCTGTGCCAGGCTCTCTCCACCTCACCACGCTGCGTCTGGGGAGCAAGAAAAATGAGCACCAGTGTGCAGATCAAACTATTAAAGTCCATGTTTAGTTTACATGTTGGAATGTTTCGGTTCTGTCGAAAACAGTTTCAGTGGCTCTCTGGACCGAATCGCCAACTCTGTAGCTCTCAGCAATGACTGACATTATCAGAGAAGTCACCTGAAGTCCTTTATTGAAAGGTGAAGACTTAACCAACTGCTCCATCCACCCAGCAAGAACGCAGGCCAAGCGATGCCACCACCCACACGCGCCAAGGCAACAAGAATCACACGCGAAGGATTTGGACTAATCCGTTCCTCACACTGAAGAAAGTGTGCTGACTGGCGAGGGTCCCGTCTGTCAACGTGTGAAGGGCAGAAGAAGCCGAGAAAGACAAGTGGTGAGCAAAGCACAGGGGAGGGGCAGAGTGTCAGCCAGTGACCACCAGGCTGGGGACGGTGCTGGGACAGTGCTGATCGGAAGTGGTAATGACCATGGGCAGCAGCAGGCACTGACAGAGGACATGAAAATCCTAGAAAAAAAGTCAAAGATAGACCCCACTGTCCCCCTGGCAAGCAGGCAGCTGCCCCTGGGGACACCTGCCTCTACTCAGGCATCTTAGCTGCCAGTGTGCCTGGTTGGAGGAAAGGGCAGCTGATGAAGGGTCTCGGTCACATCATCAAAACACACACTGGGGCCATCTGTTAATGTGTGTGTTTGTGGGCTGGGAGCCACGCTGTGGCTCTAGAGCCCCTAAGTATGCAGCGTGCAAGGCTCGAGGACAGCACCCCATCAGTGTGACCGGAGTCTGGTGGACGGGACACATGTTCCCGCAGGGCCATGCCCCACAGCTCCGACCCTGAGGCTGCATCTCGACACCACGATCAGCTGAGTGACAACAATGTCACAGGACCAACCCCACTGGCCAGGCACAGCACTCTGGAGAAGCAGGAAAGTGCTGCTTTCATCCCTAAAGATGCTACAAAAAAACTAAAACATAGAGACGCCAGCATCTCTAGAGAGAGTCAGGTCTCCGCAGCCAAGAACATCCTGAGAGGCTGTGTTGCCTGTGTTACGTCACAACTCTTCACACAGCATTTAGCTTCATCTAGTAGACACGCGAATCTGGCAGATGTCCTCGCGACTAGCCAGAGGGGCTGTGTGTATTCAAGGAGGGGGGCTCTGGGCCCCTCTCTCCACCGTCCCCCCACCCCCGTCAGTGGGCTCACTAAGGCTGTGCCGGGTCCCTCAGCAGCTGAAACCACAGAGGCAAGAAGCCACTTCCCAGTGTGTTCCTTCTGAAAGTCCACCCTAACCATTGCCAGCATGGCATCTGGTAATATTTCTTAGACACAGGTACGCAAGAACGTAGTGGAGCAGATGCCTTCTGGAACTTGGAGGTTTCCGTGTCCCAGAAAGGCCCCTGGCGAGGGACTCCCCGGAGCCTGCTCTGGCCATCGACTGCTCTCCCACTCGTCTCCTGGAGCACACTCCGCACCCTTGAGAGCAGAGACTGGCGCCCCACACTCTGCGTGTCTGGCTTCTGGTACGCGGCTGATGGCACTCAAAAAACACAATAAAAAACTTCTTCATACCCAGAAGAAGCTCTATTTGAACATATTAGTGTCAAATATATACATGCTGCT